GGAGCCTATTCTAGAACTCACTTTATAGACCAGGCTGGCCTCCAACTCACAGAGATCCCCCTGCCTCTGCCTCCCAAGTGTTTGGGATTAGAGGCGTGTGCTCAGGGAGTAGATTTTTAAATAATTTTAAAAGAAAATCTTTGGGGGAACCCCTCGACTTGTTTTAAATTCAATGAAATAATCAGCATTTTTATTAATCTCAGGGGTTTTTTTTTTAGTCACTCAATAATTTTTACTATTCTATTTGAGAAATTGCTTTCAGAAAGATTATTCCCTAAGTATGAAATTCCTAATTCAATCCCTGGGACAAGGGTGGGCTTTGGTTGACAGACTGATCTAGAAATTTTTTTTTCAGTAGTGGAGAAAACCTAGGGACTCATGCATGTTAGGCAGATGCTCTACCACAAAGCTATATCCTCTAGCCTGTGGTCTAAGGAACTATTAAAATATTAACTTGTAATAATTAAAAGGAAATAGAGCTGCAGAGAAGTCTCGTGGTTAAGAACTCTGGCTGCTCTTGCAGAGGATGTCCATTCCCAACACCCACATGGTAATTCACAGCCATCTGTAAACTCCAGTTCCTGAGGATCCGAAGTGACACACATGATACACACATGCAGTCAAACATTCATACACATAAAATAAAATAAAAACATTTTAAACTTTTTGGAAAAGTGAGAGGGCTGGAGAGATGGCTCAGTGGTGAAGAGCATTGGCTGCTCTTGCAGAGGATTCAGGTTCGGTTCCCAAAACTCACATGGCAGTTTACAACCATCTGTAATTTCAGTCCCAGGGCACATAATGCCATTTTCTGGCCTCTGCAGGCATCACCCATGCAGATGGTGCACAGACATACATGCAGGCAAAATGCCCACATGCATAAAAATTAAGTAATTAGAAATGAGAAAAAATAAAAGAATGATGTTGGTGGAGACAGGGCCTCACTGTGCAGCCCTAGCTGGCCTGGGACTTGAGAAATAGACCAAGCTGGCTGCAGACAGAGGTCTGGCCTCCTTTGATTCCCAGGTGCTATGATTAAAGGCATGTACCACTGTCCTTGGCTAAGGAATATTTAAAACAATATCCAGGCTAGACAGTGGTGGCACACACCTTTAATCCCAGCACTGGGGAGGCAAAATCGGCCAGATCTCCATGAAATGGAGGCCAGCCTGGTTGCACCACAAGTTCCAGGGCAGCCAGAATACCCAGTGAGAACCTGTCAAAAGGGGGGAAAAGTACCAAAAACAAAATAAATAAAACAATAGCCAGATTGACACTCACTTTCAAGAAGCTTCAGTTAGCTGCTGCCCCCATCTTTTCTATAACTGACAAGAGCTATATCAGAAACAGGCAGAGTCAAGACTAGGCTAGTTCCCTGCTCCTTAAAATTAACCCAGTAAATTCTTCTTCCTGAAGTGTACTATGTTTTGTTAGGTCCCAAGGTTTTGTTTTGTTTTGTTTAACTCCTTCAGTAGTTTGGTGAAGCCACAGCCCTCTCTCAGAGTATGTAAGTTAAGTGTTCTCATCAGAGCAGTGGGATCTGTTTTGGCTTACAGTGTTCCCATCACTGTGGGTTTGCAGTCAGGTAGAGCATCATAGCAGAGAAGACAGTGGCAGTGAAGGGCACCATAGAGTAGAGCCACTTACCTCAGCAGGTATGTGACGAGGTGAGCCCAGTGACATGCATCCTTTCTCTAATGAGATGCAGAAAGTTTCATTCACTTCCAGAAATGCCATCAAACTACGAATCCATCAGTGGATTAATTTACTGATTAGGTCAGAGCCTCTCCCTTTACTGCATTCATGAGCCTGCATTCATATGTTGTGTTTGTTTCTGCTTTTTACAAGATGATGTCTCACTATGTAGACCTGACTGACCTTGAACTCATAGCAACCCATCTGCCATTGCCTCTGACATGCTGGCACTAAATGTGAACAGAGAACACCACCATACTGAGTTCAGAGTAAGGATTTGTTTTGCTTTGTTTTCAAAGGCTTATTTATTTGTTATGTATACAGTGTCCTGCAGGCCAGAAGAGGGCACCAGATCTCATTACAGATGACTGTGAGCCACCATGTGGTTGCTGGAAATTTGACTCTGGACACTTAGAAGAGCAGCCAGTGCTCTTAACCACTGAACCTTTTCTCCAGCCCCAAAGTAATGTTTTTAAATCCATAGAATAAAATACATAGAGGGCTGTATAGCACTGTAAAGTGTTTTTCCTAGCTTACACAGACTCTGAGTTTCATCTCCAGTCTAACACATACAAACACACGCACATAGAACACACACACTGACACACAAAGGGGTAGGAGAAATGGGAGAGTAAGGGAGAGAACTGAAAAATCTTAACCCAAAACAAAATCTGAAAAAAAAATTAAATTTTTTTTTCACAACTTCTTTGGAGTGGAGAGGAGGAGGATTTCTAATGGAAGAGGCCTTCTTGATTAGAAATCACTTCAGGTTCTAGAGCACTGCTTTTTTTTTTTCAAGCAGCTACATGAGATTTCCTTAAATGCCTCTAGAAATACTTTTTTTTTTTTTTTTTAAGACAGGGTCTCACTATGTATCCCTGGCTGGCCTGGAACTTGCATGTAGACTAGACTGGCCACTATCTCACAGAGATGTGTGCCTTTGTTGCCTCCTGAGTGCTGTGATCAAAGTTGTGCACCACCACACCCAGCTTATAAAATACTTTTTAAGTGATTATTATAGTATAATATTCCTAGTACCTACAAGCCTATTTAATGTTATTCTTTATAATCACCGTAAAAGAATGCTATTTTCTCCATTGCCAACTAGGTTCAACTGATTTTCTTTTTCAAATACATGACAGGCACAGATCCTTACAGTGACTTTTCTTAACCCAGTTAACAGACTGTTTCTCTCCTACCCTATCCCTTAGGGGCAAATCTATAATTGAAGAAGCTGGTGCAGAGGGCTTCTTTAGGGAACTTTCTGTGTCCATTTTGTCCCACATCTCTTTTGCTTGAACCATGCTCCTCGGGCCTGTATGCTTGACCTGGAAAGGATCTTAGTTGTTAATGGTGGATTTAGGAATAAGCTGGGTAAAGAGGCAGGTTCAGCCATTAAGAGCACTGGCTGTTTTCCCAGAGGACCCTAGACTAATTCTCAGCACTCCCATGGCAGTTCACACTGTCTGTAACTCCAGTTTCAGAAGGTCTGACACCCTCGATGCCCTCTTCACCCTCTTCTGATCTCTGTGGACACCAGTCTTACACATGATATACAGTCCTGTGTAGGGGAAAAAAAGCATAAAATAATTTTATTTATTTACTTGTTTATTTGGTTGGTTGGTTGGTTGGTTGGTTTGGTTTTTCAAGACAGGGTTTCTCTGTGTAACAGCTCTGAATGTCCTAGAACTCTCTTTTGTAGACCAGATTGGCCTCAAACTCAAAGATTCACCTGCCTCTGCCTCCTAAGTATTGGAATTAAAGGAGTGTGCCACCACCGCCCAGCTAGCCTTCTTTTTTTTTTTTTCATAAAATAAAATTTTAGGGCTGGAGAGATGGCTCAGAGGTTAAGAGCACTGACTACTCTTCCAGAGGTCCTGAGTTCAATTCCCAGCAACCACATGGTGGCTCACAACTATCTGTAATGAGATCTGGTTCCCTCTTCTGGCCTGCAAGTATACATGCAAGAAGAACACTGTATATATAATAAATAAATCTTTTAAAAAATAAAATAAAATTTTAAAAAGCTATAAAATTTGGGTAAAATGAGGGAGACAAGACCAGTTTAATGTTGTTAGCTGACCATATGGGACCATACGGGACCATATGGGAACTATGTGTTTGCTTTGTAAAGGGCTGTGGAAAGAGGGCTATAGATGTGCTATTGAGTGGTAAGTTACATGTCTAATGAAAAAAGTAAAAACAAGAGTAAACAGCCACTATTTTTAGACACAAGACAAATTAGAACCATGTTTGGAAACCTGCAACGTCCAGGCCATTTCTGTGGCACGGATGTTCTAATGAAAGAACAGGGTCAGTGGTCTCAAAGGTCCTTTGAATTACTGCTATTCATCTATTCCTTTCACCTCCTCCTTTTAAAAGAAGAACAATGTAAATTATTGTCCAGTAACTTTGCGTTAGTCATAAACTGGGATAGACTGCCTTACCTCTTCACTGCTCTTCCACTGAAACCTCTACCCAAAAATCTGTAATGTCTCCTTTTCTGTCATCCTGCCTACAGGCTCCTCTCTACCCTTAATTTTTTTTCGTTTTTGCTTGCACTTTTAGTTTGTCTTCATACAGCCAGCAGCATTGTACTGGCCCCTTTATGACTGCTGGAGCCCAGGCAGACTGCCTGATGAAGGAAAACAGCATTTGGCCAATGGGGCTGGTGTGTGCCATTATTGCTGGCCATTGGACCTCTGTCATCTACAGTTCCGTCCTGGCTCATTAAAACTGTGAGCCAAATAGCCGCAAAGGCGCCTGCTGCAGCACTGTGGGGGCCAGGAAGTTAAATGATTCTCCTAATCCTGCATAATTTATCTCCCTGTTAGTCCCTCATAAAATTCTCTAGTTCAGCCCCACCACAGAGAGCTTCGTTCTGAAATTTCCTGTTTTTGTGATGACCACTGAGTTCCCAGTCTTTTCTTCTCTCTTTATTGTTATTATTAAAAACCATTTTGCTCTTGTTTACAAGTTTACCTTAATGTTTTTTTCATGTTTAGGCAATACCTCAGCCACAATCTGTCCACTCGCCTTGTTTGTCCCTGATGATACAAAGTGGTTGGTGCTGTGATCTCTCTCTCTCCTCTCTTTCCTGCTTTCAGTGCCATTATTCTTCATCTCCTCTATCATTTCCATCATTTTTCCTCTTTCTGTTCTTTTTCCATTCCCTTTTCCAGGGACCGGTGTCGCTGTAACATGTTACCCTTTTAAAAGAGCACTGAATGGCAGAGGGGTTGGTTTGGTTTTGTTGTTGCTTTCTCCCCTCCTTTTTTCACATCTCCATTTCTGTTTCATTTCAGAGATTTACAAACGAGGACCACCTGGCAGTTCATAAGCACAAGCATGAGATGACACTGAAATTTGGCCCAGCCCGAACTGACTCGGTCATCATTGCAGGTATTTGCTGCCCCCAAAAGTCACATGCTTTGCTATCACCAAACAGTTAAGATTAATTCCAGGACCCAAATGTCCTAGGAGCTGCACTCCCTTTCTCCCGTCAAGACGTCAAGACCCCTTTTGTGATCTGCATTTAATCAAGAATAGGTAGCACTAACAGATCCCTGGCTCCTGCTGCACCTTCATTCTATTTTTAATAGTACACTTGTGTTCTGTGGCTTGCAAGAGTAGTTGATTTGAGATTTTATCTTCACTTTTTTTAGTCTGTTCTTTCCTTGCCTTTGATTTATCAGGATTTTGGAAGAGCTACAGACAGACACCACTGACATTTCTCCTTACCCATAGAAGAGCTGAACAAAAAAAGGCAAAAAGTCACTTTACCCTGGCCTCTTCTCAATCAACTTCTCTTGTGAACTCAGACACTGTTGAGGGCACATTTCCAAAACACAAATAAAACACTCTGACTTTCCTAACCACTCTGGGTGCTGTGGACCCTCTCACAGCTGCAGATGTAGTCTCACCACGCACAGGGTGCCTTCCTAGTGCTGCTTTCCCAGCCCTGCAGTACTTCTTTGATGCAGTTTGCAGCTAGACGGATGTGCAAAGCAGAGTGAGTTTTTTTCTTTTGATACTATCAGAGCTTCTAATTTAACCTATGCCAAAAAGATTTAGCTTAATATTTTTAATCAGTAGTGTATTTCATTGATGGTTATTATATCAATTAATAAACTAGTTAAATTATAATTTTAATTACTTACTACTTGTAAAATTGTTACCTTAGACATGGAAAAAGAGAAGAACCTCTTCTTCCTATTAATGCATATGATGAAAAAGACTTGCCCTTCTACATTTCCTACTCCTTATTAATTCATCACATATTAAATACTTACTAATCTACTGTGTGGGCTAGTTACTTTTTTAGGAGCTTATAGATTTTATGATTTGTAATCCCTGGGAAAAGGATATGAGCAGGGACAGTATCAATGATTTTTTTTTTTTAAAGGCAGGATTTCATTGCTCTGGCTGGCTAGCCTGGAATTCAGTATGTAGACCTGGTTAGCCTGGAACTCAGAACCACCTATCTCTGCCTCTTGAGTGCTAGAATTAAAGGCCTGCTCTACCACACCCTGCTGTGTTTATATTATGAGGGAGCGGAGTACATGTGAGTGCAGGTGCCAGAGAGAGAATCAGATCCCCTGAAGCTGGAGTTAGAGTTGGTTGTGAATGTTCTGCTGTGGGTATAGGGAACCAAACTAGGGTCTTTTTGAAGAGCAGTATGCACTCTTAACTACTGAGTCACCTTTCCATCCACCCCTTTTTAGACTGGATCTCACTGTGTAGTCCAGATATACCTTGAGTTTGAAATTGTCTTTCAGGGGCTGGAGAGATAGCTCAGAGGTTAAGAGCACTGGCTGCTCTTCCAGGGGTCCTGAGTTCAGTTCCCAGCAACCACATGCTAGCTCACAATCTATAATGAGATTTGGTGCCAGAACACTATATACATAATTAATAAATAAATAAATAAATAAATATCTTTTTTTAAAATTATCTATCATTTACTTCCTGGAAGCTGGGATTATAAGTGTAAGCCACTGTGTTTGACAGAAAAAAATGTTTTTTAGTCTGCATTCAGTTCTGGTGTACTCAAACCAATGCATAGGACTTTAACTTTCCTGTGTAGACAAATGATTGTGTCCCCTGTTAAGACAGCATGGTATGCCATATATATCCCAAGCTCTCACTGGACCCTTGAGTGGGCTATAACTCAGGTCTTCACTGCAGTGACTGGACGTGTCTCCTAAAGCACCATCCTCCCTGTTACTCACTGGTATCAGTGTTCTCAGTCTTGAGTTGTTTTATTTTTTTCTCCAAATCTTCTCTGTTCTAGTCCTTCCATTTATTAGCCAGCGTTCTATCACTGAACAAAACTTGAGAAAAAAATCAATTTGTAAGTAGAAAAAGTTTGAGCAGGGTGTGATCGTGCATTCCTGTAATCTTAGCACTTGGGAAGTAGAGGCAAGAAAAGCTAAAGTTCAAGACCATACTCAGCTACATAGCAAGTTAAAGGCTAGCCTGGGCTATATCAGACTATCTCAATAAGGAGAGAGAGAGAGAAAGAAAACGAGAGACAGAAATGGCAGATTATTTTGGCTCAGTTCTGGAGGCTTCTGTCTGTGGACAGTTGGCACATCACGGTGGTGAGTGTGTAGAAGAAAATGCTACTCTCCTGGCTAGGACACCAAAGAGAAAGAGAGCAAAAGCCCACAGTTCCCTTCAAGAAAATGCTCCTAATAACCTAAAATTTCCATTGGGTTCTAGCTCTTACAGGTCCTGGGAGCAAGCATTTCACTCATGGAGACTCAGGCAGCACACAAACCATGTAGTCTTCTTATTGCCCCCACTCGTTGTGTTTGTCTCCTCTGATGACACCTTAATGCTCTCATTCTCCATCTTTTAAACAGCTGGTCTTTACATTCTGTTCTTATGCTCACAGTCTCATTTTGTTTTCTCTTTAAGGTTCAAACTTTCCATAACCATCCCCATGGTACTTACCCAATTTTATGTGCAAGTTATATGCACAAAGTGACAATATTTTCACCTAAACATATTTTCTCCTAATTATGTGTGATGACCATTCCCTGCCTTTATGCCTTTACCAGCATTATTCTCTTAGTTGTTAAAATTTCTCCTCTCTTGACAGTTCCAAAACCATTTTCCAAGGCTTATCTCAAGTCCTGCTTGAAATCTTTCCTAACAGCCCTAGTAATTAATGTGTACTTATTTTTTATAGTAATTTTATTCTGTACCTCAAATAGCACTTATTTTTGCAGTGTAGTGCTATCTACATATATTAGTTTTATTTCCTTACCTAAAAAGCATTTTCTTAGTTCTCTAGAGAAAGACTTATCTTATGTTTGGTCTATACTCTTATCTTCTCTCTACGTATGTATCCAAGTCTATGGATGTAACACTAAAACATTCAGAAGGATTCAATAAACACTTAGAAATTTGATAGCAGACTAAGTTTGTTTATATATTTGCAGATTGTTTATTTAGAAACCAGAAGCTGAACGTTAGAACTCACCTGGAAGATGAGGAATTAGTACAGGGGAGATTTCTTTCTTACTTTTTTTCTTACTCTCTTTGTGCTTTTGTTTTTGTTTTTCAGGATGGAATTTCTCTATGTAGCTTTTGTTGTCCTGGAACTCACTATATAGACCAAGCTGGCCACAAACTCACAGAGATCCGCCTGCCTCTGCCTCCCGAGTGCTGGGATTAAAGGAATGCACCACCACCAGCCAGTCAGGGGAGATTTTAAAATTAAATCAGAAAATGAACATAGGTAGCAGTATATAAGAGGAGCTTGTTTGACTCAAACCTGAAGTCTCAGAGTTGTTCTTCCGTCACCACTGAACCTTTAGTTACCCCTTGTGTCCCACTCGGGTGTGTCCCACTCTGTGTGTCCCACATCTGTGTCCCATTCTGAGTGTGCAGAGTGGCTTTATCTGTAGCCACCCAAAGCAGCCAGAGGCCCTTTTAGAGCTATTTTAGGAGGTAGTGGTGATTTTTCTAAGCATTCTGGCTCAGAAGGGTATTTAAGTTTTTAAAAAGAAAAATGTTTCCATAGGAATCACACAGAACTATTTCCAATTAATCATGCTACAAGGAACAATTTTAACCCTTAGGTCTTTCCTTAAAATACAATTGAAACATTATTCTATCCGTCAGTCTAGTTTTGAATAGAAGATGAATCCTTGAGGTGATAAGTACATCAAAGAAAACCATCATAGTAGAATCAGGGGTCCTGGGAACAAGGCTCAACTTTAGGAAAGCAAAAGCAGGGGAGAGAAAGACAAGCTAAGATCTGCTGAAGTTTTTTTACTAGAAAAGTTCCTGTAATTTATGAAGAGGTTTCACCTCCATAAGAGCAATGAAGCCAGTCTTTGTGGCACATTCCTGTAATCCAGCACTTGGGAGGTAAAGGCAAGAAGACTGTAAATTCCAGGATAACCTGGGCTTTTCTCCAAAAAAAGAAAAGAAAAAACAGAGGCAATATGTTGAGAAAAAGTTTTGCATAGCCCCTGTGGGGATATTTTGACCAGCAAATCTAAACCAAATAGCCTGGTTTCCGGAATTTGCTCTGGGCCCATGTCTCTATGAAATAAACCCTATTGTTTGTAATTTCCTTTTGTAACTCATGATATTACTGTCTTGTTCCCCAGTCCCTAGATTTGCTTAGAATGGAGTTCAGCAAGACCTCAGTGAAAGGCAGGCCCCGTTCCTTATAAGGTAGCTTTAGTGAGCAAACACAGCAATCTGGTCCTCAGTTTGTTCTCTCTGTCAGATTTTAACACCTGTCTGTTTCTATCTACTCACTGCAGACCTGGCAGGATGTTTGTTTATAAGGGAAAACAGTGCTTAACTTTAATCTTCAAATCTAGAGGTTTCATGAATCTTTACTTTCATGAATGGTTTGTTTTATTGGGGTGGTGTTTTCATTGGGGGTGAAATATTTAAATCTAGAATTGAGAGAAGGTGGGTATGTAGTTAGTCACACAGAACATTGTCCTGTCTTCCCTCTGCTGGCCCTGAGACAACACAACACAGACATCCTCTGGTAGCTTAGAACCACCATCCACCCACGAAAACTCCAGAAGAGCTCATTTACTCCAACATAGACTCTTCTCCAAGTAAAATCCCTGTGCACTCTCATTTTAATCTTATATTAAAACTAGAACACATTTCCTTTTCTTTTTATGTCTACAGATCAAACGCCTACTCCGACTAGATTCCTAAAGAACTGTGAGGAGGTGGGGCTTTTCAATGAACTAGCTAGTTCCTTTGAACATGAATTTAAGAAAGCAACAGATGAAGATGAAAAAAAGGTAAGTATGGCTAAAAAGAAAAGCTGGTTAGACTTAGGCTATTTTCATTGTGCCTTGAAATTTGCTTAACTGGTTAAAATCTAGAATCATGGGGTTAGTTCTATAAAATCAGATAATACTCAGTAATCCTAGCCATTCATCCAGGTCTTGTAGGAGCAAGGGTGAGATGGGTCTCGCTGTGTAACTAGGGATAGCTTCTATGTCACTTTATAATCCAGGATGACCTCAAGCTCGTGGGACCCCCTTGCTTCATTATATTAAGGCCTGGGCTGTTATGCATATCTGACATCTAGCATCGGGTGGAGGTCTAGCTTTGGGTTCTGGGGTCTTAACTAAGATGATAGTTACTTTTCTGACAGTCCCCTTAAGTAATCTATTTGTTTCCCATGTAAATATGTGTAAAATGTTAAAAGAATATGTCAGGGGGCTAGAAAGATGGCTCAGTGGTTAAAAGTGCTTGTTGGTCTTACAGAGGACCCAAGTTCAGTTCTCAACACCCATGTTGGAGATCTGACACACACTTCTGGCTTCCTGTGGAATGAATATACACATATTGAACACATAAACAATAATAAAAGTTTTGAAGAATATGAATTGGGAGGTTGAGGTAAAGGATTACAAAACATTCAAGGTCAGACCATGCTATATAGTAAATTCCAGGTCAGCTTGAACTACAGAGACACTGACTAAGGCAACCAAACAAAAGTATGAGTTACTCAGATTTTATTAGATATCTTTTTTTCTACCAATTATCTTTGTCAGGGGTTGGGGGTGGCTAGAGATCAGTGGTAGAGTGCTAACCCATGCAAGGGCCTGAACTCCCACACGCCCACCACCAATATAAGGAAACAGGCACCACTGTCTGTAAACTGATTGTTTGGATAGTTTGTTTGTTTGTTTGTTTGTTTAGGGTCTCACTGATATGTAGCTCTGACTGGCCTCAAATTCCTAGAAATCTGCCTACCTCTGTCTCCTAAGTGCTGGAATTACGGACTCGCTTGTTATTTTTATTCAGTTTTCCAGCCAACAAATGTGTTGAATTTCCTCTGTTTTGTTTCTGTGTGTACGGTGTTGCATTCAAGTAGCTTCCTAGCACTACTTGATAATACCTAGAGCAGTGCTTCTCAACCTTCCTTCCGCTGCAGCCTTTAATACACTTCCTCATGTTGTGCTGACCCCAACCATAAAGTTATTTTCATTGCTACTTCAGAACTGTACTTTTACTACTGTTAGGAATTGTAATGTGAATATCTGATATGTAGTATATCTAATCTGCAACCCCTGTGAAAGGGTTGTTCAATCCCCACACATTGAGAACTGCTGACCCTAGGGCATTAGAGAAAAATGTTTTCAGCTGAGTGTGATGGCACACATCTGCATTTGGCACACTTAAGAGGCGGGGGGAGAAGGATCACAAGTTTGAGACTCTGTCTGAAACTAAAATAAGATTGTTCTCTTATGATCTTGCAAAGATGATCAGTAAAAAGGAATAAGTGTAGTCTTGAAAGACTTCAAAGATTCTTGTATAAAAGAGGGATTGCATGCCAGGCATGGTTGTACACAGTTGTAATATTACAGCATTCAGCAAGCTGAGGCAGGAATATCTTAAGTTTGGCTGCATAACAAGTTCGAGGGTACATGGTAAGACGGTGTTTCAAGCTGAGCAGTGGTGGCACACACTTTCATTCCTAGAATTCAGGAGGCAGAGACAAGACAGGCAGATCTCTGTGATTTTGAGGCTAGCTTGGACTACAGAGCAAGTTCCAGGACACACAGAGGCTACATAGAGAAACCCTGTCTCGGGGAAAAAAGACACTGTTTAAAATATATATGTATTTTAAACATATTAAACGTGTGTGTGTGTGTGTGTGTGTGTGTGTGTGTATTTTATTTAGAGGCTAGCTCAGTTGGTAAAGTACTCACTTAGCACACACAAGTCCTCAGCACCTGCATGAACTGGCCTTGGTGACACACACCTGCAATCCCAGTATTCAGAATATAGAGGCAAGAGGAACAGATTACAAGTCATCCTCAACTATATACCAAATTCAAGACTAGCCTGGGCTACATGAGACTCTGTCTCAAAACAAAAGTGTTAAATATGGAGAGCTGGAGAGATGGCTCCGTGGTTAAGAGCTCTTTCTGCACTTGCAGAGGACCCAGGTTTGTTTCCCAGCGCCCACAACTGCCTGTAACTCCAGTTCCATGGGATCCGGTACCTCTTCTAAATTCCTCAGTCCTGCACCCACATGGTACATATATACATTTAGGCACATCCACATATGTAAAAAGAAGGAGGAGGAAGAAAAAAGCATTAAGTTTACTTTTTTCTTTTTTATTCTTATTTTATATATTAAATCCTAGCCACTAAATTTATTTTTTGTGGCCCAAAGATTGAAGCAGAACAATTATGTAGAAGATACCATAATATTCATTATTATGAATAATAAATGAACATACTTAGTAAAAAAAAATACTGTAGTTAAAGTACTGATTCCTTCTGATTCTAAGATACTATGGTACCGGTTCTAACTTTTGTATGTTCTAGATTGCCAGAGAATCTCTTCATTTAGAAGACTAGAGGATAGTTTTTAAAAATCAAAATCAAAAGAAAGAGATCTCAATGAAATAAGGAGCTTGTAGGGGAAAGAAATGTGGAAAAATCAAGTTAGATGTGGTAGTGTGTCCCTGTAGCAAGAGGGTCACAAGTCACACCAGTGGTGGTACATACTCTTAATCCCAGCACTTGGGAGGCAGAGGCAGGCAGATCCATGTGAGTTTGAGGTCAACCTGGTCTACAGAGTGAGTTCCAGAACAGCCAGGGCTACACAGAGGAATAGACACAAGTTGTAGGCCAGTCTGGACTACACAGCAAGACCCTGTCCAGAGTAGTCAGGGGAGGGAGAAGACTGCTCAGTTTACTCTAGAATTCAGGGATGTAAGACTTCAAGTCCAGTCTCCAGAATCCATGTTGGGCATCTTACAGCCATCTGTAGCTCCAACTTTAAGAGCTCTAATGCCTCTAGCCTCCATAGGCACCCACATATATGTGCACATACCCACACAGAGACACATACGTAAACATAATTAAAAATAATAATAAATCTTTAAAATCAGGTCTATGATTACATCATACTTCAGAAAAGATTCCAATACATGTATATCAAGATGTATATTTTAATAATGCATGCACTTCATTGTTGTGTGATATAAATGAGGACTCAACAAATTAGAAAAGTTTCCACAAGAACAACATATTTATAACTGATGCTACCATCCAACTTAAATTGTGAAAATATAAGATAAAGTATGATTTTCTTCAAAGTTCATAGCTATCTATGAGATGCTTTTTCATGCTGTCTCCCAGTATGTGTGGTATATGCATGTGTGCAGGTGTACTCATTTATGGAGTATATATGGAGACTAGAGGTCAATGCTGGGGTGTCATTCTCAAGTGCCCCTCCGTGTTTTGTTTTGCTTTTGTTTTAAGTGAAAGAGAAAGAGACAGAGAAAGACAGACAAAAAGAAAGTGAGTGTGTGTGTGTGTGTGTACACCTGTGTTCACATGCATGCATATGTATGTCATGGCCTATATGTGGTAGTCATGAGTCTTCTGCCTTTTACCCTCTGAACCATCTCGGTGGCTCTTAAACCTCTGTTATTATTGTTTTGAAAGAGGCTTTTGCTATATAACCCAGGTTGACTTGGAATTCTGTATGTAACTTAGGTTGTCCTCAAGTTCCTGATCTTTATATGTCAGCCTTCTAAGTGTTGGGAGTACATTTATACACCACCATGCTTGGCATATCAAATTCAATAGGCAAATTCAAGAAAAATAGCTTCCCTGGACTGGCAAGATGCAGATAAAGCACTTGGCACCAAACGAATGATCTGACTTTGAGTGTGATCTCAGGACCCACACAGTGAAAAGGGATAATTGGAACTAGAGAGATGGCTTAGCAGGTAAAAGCACTGGCTGCTCTTTCAGAGGTCCTGGATTTGATTCCCAGCACCTACTTGGTGGCTTACAATCATCTGTAACTCCAGCTCCAAGGGATCCAACACCTTCTTCTGGCCTCCTTGGGAACCAGGCACACAAGTGGTACACAAACATGCATGCAGGCAAAATATCCATACATGTAAAATAAAATTTTAAAATAAGGAACAAAGGAGAGAATTGGCTGTAGAAAGTTCCACATGCATACTGTAGTACTCACTTGATCCCAAACATGTACACACATTAAATAAATAAGACAAAGAAAAAAATGGAATTTAAAAATTTTAAAGTTTTCTGCTCATTGCTTTATCTTTCCTGCTGCCATTTTTTAGCTCACTTGACATTTTCCTTTGGTGATTGTCTCTCTCTGTCCAGGGTGACCTTTTCTTCCCCTTGATGAGAAGCACAGATGTGGTAGAGTCTTATCTCCAGGGATATTTAATGATCCTGAAACTTTCCCAAACCACAATCTTTATAGGAGATAAATTGGGAATTCTAAAGGGAAGTTGTTTTTTTCTTAGATGCTTCCCTTCCCATCAGTGTGTCTCAGAATGAGCTAAATTGGCTCTGAGATTTAGGAATGTAGAAAAAGTAAAGCAGAAATAAAATCCTTTGGAGTTCCTCATCCTATGAGATGGAGAAGAATCATTTCTACCTCTTTAGTACAGTACAAATTAGTACTGTACTAAATTAGTGAATTAGTTTGCTGCTCAGGCTTACAGAGGTGAAGGTAGCAAGTGATAGTGTACATCTGTCATCCTAGCAGTTGGGACGGGGAGATGGAAAGATAATAAGTTCAAGAGTTCAAGGCTAGCCTAAGCTACACAGCTGAGACCATGTCTGGGGTTGGGAAAGTAGCAAAGAAAGTAGTAGGAACAAATTCCCCTTTCACCAAGAAGCCTAGGATATAGGAAGAAGAGAACAAAGGATTCACTTTGACATGAAGCTGGTACAGCATCAGGGTTCTTATCTCAGATAGTTTACTATTCCCTGCTAAGCCATTTACAGCTGCCAATTAAGTCAGGTAGTGGCACCTCTGCCCAGAAAGTTATTTACTTTCTGGTTTCTCTGGTACTGTCTCTAAGACCCATTTTTTCATTGATGAGATGAGACCAGCCTTTCCTTTCTTTGTTTATCCCCAAACCCTGTATGAAGTTTCTAGCCTCCTGCCCTAAACAGATTGTGATCACCTTCTAACATGGCAGGTTCCCCAGAAAAGATCTTTTCTATCTTTTTTTGCAACACTTTAATGGCTAGTTTGTCTTCTGTTGCTTTTGGTAACTGGTTAGTAACCAAGGCATTCTGGTTGGCAGAGAAAGTGTTCACAGTTCTCCAATGACCAGCAAAGCTGGTTGGGAATTGATAGGTAATTGATTCAGAAGTTCTTTTAATTTTCTGCGAGAAAATATTATAAAAAAATTTTATAATATAAAAATATTATAAATATTTGCATGGATTTAAGTGGCAGTTATTTTACATGTTTTTAGGCATTATAAGTACTTGCTTTTAACTGATGTTATCTTCATTTTGTAGTTAGGGAACAGAAGCCCCAAGAAGATACAGTGACTTGGCCAGAGTCTACATAAAGCATGAGTCCACATTTCTCTGGCACTTGGCAGCTCAGTGTTTTGACCAAAAGCCGAACTTGGTGAAGCAAATGCCCTGACCTCATTACAAGCATCGTGAAACTGAACTCCGTTTACTGTTTCCCCAACAGGGTGCTCCTGGGCCTCTTGACATGTCTCTGCCTTCTACACCAGACATCAAAATCAAAGAAGAGGAGCCAGTGGAGGTAGACTCATCGCCCCCCGACAGTCCTGCCTCTAGCCCCTGTTCCCCACCATTGAAGGAGAAGGTAAAAATCTCTCCCAGAAGTCATCCCAAATGTTAGTTTTGATTCATAAATGGTATTCATAAATGGAAAAGAGTTAACGGGTAGTGGTGGCACCACACTTGGGAGGCAGAGGCAGGCAGATCTCTGTGAGTTCGAGACCAGCCTGGTCCACAAGAGCTAGTTCCAGGACTGGCTCCAAAGCAACACAGAGAAGCCCTGTCTCAAAAAACCAAAAATAAATAAATAAATGAATAAATAAATAAATGAATGAATGAATGAATGGAAAAGGGTTGATTGGACTCAAAAGAATGAATGTCTTTTCCTCCTTTTGTTTCTTCTCTCTCTCTCTCTCTCTCTCTCTCTCTCTCTCTCTTTGATAGCATATTATTAATGTAGCCCACACAGGACTTGAGCTCAATCCTCCTGCCCTAGTCTCCAAATATGCCCTATGGATATGTCTATACATAATTTGAAAGGACTCTTAAATATTTAAGCAATGTAAATAAATTACACCTACTCAGTCATCTAACAATCACACTTCCAACTCCAAATTGAAGAGAGTTTGTTTTGTGTGTATACCAACAGAAATAAGTAAGAATATTCATAAAAATGTTATTCTTTTTTTCTGTTTGTTTTGGTTTTTGGGGTTTTTTTTTTGTTTTTGTTTTTTGTTTTGTTTTTGAGACAGGATTTCTCTGTAGCTTTGGAGCCTGACCTGGAACTCTCTCTGTAAACCAGGATATCCTCAAACTCACAGAGATCCACCTGCCTCTGCCTCCTGAGTGTTGAAATTAAAAGCATGCGCCACCACTGCTCAGCATTATTCATTTTTTTAAGTGTCTGGAAGCTGTAGAGATAACTTAGGTAAAAGTGCTTGCTGTACAAGCATGGGAATTCAAGTTCAAATCCAGAAAATCTGGGTAAATATACCACCCAGGTACAGTAGTATGTACCTCTAGTTCCAGTGCTTCTGCTGTGAGATAGCAGGTACAGATAGACAGAAGATACCTTTGGAAGCTGTCTAGCCTGTTGTTTACAGTGGTAAAAGAAGAGTTCCTGTCTCAAAACAAGATGGAAGGGGAGGAACAAACCCAGTGGTTGTCCTCTGACCTCCACATGACCACACTCACACACAAACATACACATATCACATACATACATGTAGGCAGAAGTTTCTGTCCCATCACTTCCCAAGTAATCGACATGGAGACTTAATATTAATTGTAAATGCTCAGCTAATAGCGCAGACTTATTACTAGCTAGCTTTTACATTTATGTTAACCCATATTTCTTATATATGCTTTGCCACGCAACTTGGTACCTTTTTTTCAGTATGGCATGCCCATCTTCTCTCCCTGCATCTCTGGCAGCTCCCCTGACTTTACCCTTCTTTATCCCAGAATTCTCCTAATCTAGCTCTCCTGCCTAACCTTATTTTGTTCAGCTATTGGCCAGTCAGCTTCTTTATTAAACTAATCATAGCACATATATTCACAGTGTAAAGGAATATTCCACAGCATTTTCCCCTTTTGTCTAAATAAAAAAAGGAAGGTTTTAACTTTAACATAGAAAAATTATATACAGCTGCTGTGGGACAATGGTCTTGTATTGTTTTAATAAAATGCTCATTGGCCAGTAGCCAGACAAGAAGTATAGGTGGGGCAACCAGGCAGGAAATAGAGGCAGGGCAATGAGAACAGGAGAATTCTGGGAAGAGAAAAGGATCAGTCTGCAGTCATCATCCAGACACAGAGGAAGCAAGATGAGAATGCCTTACTGATAAAAAGGTACCAAGCCACATGGCTAACATAGACAAGAATTATGGGCTAATGTAAGTTACAAGAGTTAATAAGAAGCCTGAGCTAATAAGCCAGCCAGTTTATAATTAATGTAGACCTTTGTGTGTTTCTTTGGGACTGAATGGCTGTGGGATTGGGCAGGACAGAAAGCTCTGTCAACATACAACAAAAACAGTTATCAAGTAAGAATTACAGTTACACTATCCACTACATTTGTATTTGGCAATATTAGAGAAAATACTCTATTATCTATCTTATCTTGGTGAGTCTAAAGTTTTACATCTAATTTACCTTTTTATCATAATTAAGGAAAACTATAATTATAACTATCTAGTCTTTAACTCCATCAAAAACCACAAAAGGGTAAAATGTTACCTAATGACAGGGACATTAGGCCATGTGGACAGTCACCCTAGGTTCCTCTGTAATGTTGGGGCATCCAACTCTGGCATACAGGCTTAGCATGTCTGACACTTTCCTGAGAAGCAGGAATTCTGAAGGACTGTCCTACCTTGTGTTGGCAAAGTTCAGCGGTTGCATTTCTTGCATCCTGCTGGTCCAGTGGACAGTAACTGTCAGTAATTGAGGCAAGGGCAGTTTCTTTGCCTACATGGCTAGCTTTTGCCATAAAGAAAGCAAATTCCATATAGAGTTTCTTCTATACCTATTATCTTCTCTGAAGCAAATTGGTGCTGCCAGGAACAGATGTGTCTCATTGTCATGAAAAACCTTAGGTAATTAAACATTAAATGCCATATTCTGTAGGTCTTTGGCATGATTAAAGACCATCTATCTATCTGAATTTATCTATGTATGACCTTGAAAACATACCTAACATGACTATAAACTTGACTTCTTATAGGTAACTATTGATCTGTATTTCCTAATTATATATTACCATTTTTTTTTTAGACCAAGCTGGCCTCGAACTCACAGAGATCTGCCTATCTGCCTCTCAAGTACTGAGATTAAAGGCATGCACCACCACCACCCAGCTTATATATTACATTTTTAAATAAATACAATACCTCCAAACAAGAGTAGAAACATACATACAGCATAACAAAATTAACTTTAAATTTGTATCTATAAACCAAAATACATACCAATGTAAAATATTTTGAGATTAATAGTTGTTTTTTGGTTTAAGAGTAGATTTAATAATCTACCCTTTTATCCTATCATTTCTGTGCCCTATCCCCCTTTTTTCCTTTAGAAAGAGATCTTTGAATTTAACTCCTATGTTTAGCTTTTTTCCTGACTATGACCACTAACAATTTGTAACCAAACCTCCTTAAATGATAGCAACCATCTATAACGAATCTTTTGAGAATGCAGATGTCACTCTCTAGTTTACTTCTTGTTGTTTGTGGACACTGTTATCTTTGGGAGACCCTTGAGAAAAATCAGGATAATTATTAGGCCTTGACTGGAATAGTTTGTGAGGCTGGACCATCTTAGTTAGCAACTTTGAGCTGTTCTGGATGCTGAATCACCTGGGCCATCCATTTTCACTGATGTCTGGTTCCCCGAAAATACATAAACTTTTAAAGGTAACATACATATCTGTATTAATACAAGTATAGACTGTATTGTATACAAATCAGCCAAAGATGTTTTTTTGTTACATGTTTGAGCAGGTGTCTTGTATACATACATATGTCTTGTAATTCTTCTAGGTTTATTTCTTTATGTCTGTAGTCAGGATTTCAAAGAGGTCTTCCTCAGTGAAACCTGATCATCCTTAACCTTGAACAAACTCACAGCCTCTCATTTTCTGTGGAAATAAAAGCATAACCTCTTCCTATTACTACCTGGGGGACAGACACTCCAGACAGTGCAGGGCTAAAGGAATCCACAGCATCAGGGTGCTTTTCTATCTGAAAGGGTTAGGAAAAAAGACACACACTCTCTTAATGGTTTCCTTCAAACCTTTATTTTTTTTTGCATTCTCTTATTTCTTCTCTAATTCTTGATGTTTTCTAACTCTGTCTTTACTCTTGATATTTCCCTCTAGTTCTCTCATTTTGATGTCTTCCTTCTAGCCCATTTTAACTCTTTCTAGCTCTATCTCTAGATAAAGCTTATATACCCCAGCAAAATCTTTTAGGTACTATAAAAATTACAGTGTGGTTACATTCAGTTTTTCAAGTGAATTATTGTAATGAATACAGGTAAAAACACATTTTTTTATCTCCCTTACATGATTAAAAACAAAGTCACCCCCAATAACCCACATACGTTTACATCTAAGTAACTTGTTACAGATTACAGAACATGAGCAAGTATTTTTCTCAGCCAACTCTTTATTGGCAGGTTGCATATTGCTGTTACAAAGAAAGAATCAATCATTTTACTATTTATCTTGAAAAGTAAACTTACAAAGAATCTTAAAGGAATCACAAACCTACACATTGAAAAACAATCAGTCTTTAGGGTGCATACTCACTCATCAATAGTTTCTTATATCAGAAGATTGAGGGCAAGAATTAACTATCACCTTTGCTCACCAACCAACCCTAGCAAGGAAAGTATGTCAATTGGGCTGCTTTGTATTTTTGACCCTCACCTAATGAATTTATAGCTCAGCTATGTGTCCTTGTGAACTTTGGATTTTTTTTTTGGTTTTTTTGTCCTAAAGCTATTATCAAAGCATCTGTTCTAACCTGAAGTTATTTTGGAGCTTTGTTTCAGCTATTGCTGCACACCAAAACCTATGACTGCATCTTTCATCATTAATATTAAAGGAATTTGAGCCAGTCTGGCTCCTGGGAGTCAGTTGTTTTTCTTAATCATTAACTTGAGCCATAATCTATACAGCTCCTTTGCATTTATTTTTATTCATCAAAATTCTGTATATACTAACATTATTATTATCGATTAGACAGTACAGCTTAGAAAAGAATTATCTTCAGTGACAATCCACAGGTAAAAATGCCCAGTAGAACAGGATGTATCCTTGAGATAGACACATTACATTACAGGCAGTGGGGTCTCCCCACACCCACTCACACCATACCAGATACCAGAGAAAGACAGCAACAGCAAACATGTAAAGACACAGCAGAAGCAAAAGACGCTCTAGGGTCTGTGGCCTTGCCTAACCAAGATTCGCCCATCAGAAGAGTTTCTTCCTAGTGGGCTGATACCTTGAACTTCAATTGCTACCTGCTACTCCTCTGATGTGACCCCTGGCATCTTCACCAAAGTAACATCTTTTGACTTAAATTTGAAGTCAAGATATTTTTAAAATATAAAGGTTGGTTTAATCTAGTACCTTCTATAACCCAATGTCTCTTAGCAGCCAAAAAAAATTTAAAGACAGCACAATAACATAGGATCCAGACTTTTTGTGTAGTTTTTGGTAGAAGGGCCTCTTCAAAGAGTCGTGCCCATTTTTTTTGCCACTAGCACTGAGCCAGAAACCCATCTCTTAAAGGAGCCATGTCTCTGCTTGTCGCCAGCAAATAGTCTACCTGAGAAAAGGTGGTTACCAAGAAGCCATGCTTGAACTTGTTTTTGTGTTTAGAATCCTTTTCTTTTTTTAAGCTTTGTCAGGTCTTATATGGAGATTCTGGCCCCACATTGGCTACCATTTGTAAGCAGAGTTTTCCTGTGCTGCAGTTGCTCTCAAATAAGCACTCTGAGGCTGATATTAATTATATATGCTAGCTAGCTCTTACATTTATGTTAATCCATATTTTTTATCTATGTTTTCCACTTGGCTTAATACCTTTTTTTAGTATGGTATGCCCAACTTGCTTCTCTCTGTGCATCTCTGGCAACTCCCCTGATTCTGTTCTTCTTCATCCCAGAATTCTTCTAGTCTGGCTCTCCTACCTAAACCCTGTTTTGTTCAGCTATTGGCCATTCAGCTTCTTTATTAAACCAATCACAGCAACATATATTCACACAGTGTAAAGGAATATTCCACAGAACATACTCAGATTAGAAGAGAGAATGAAACATTCCAAGTATCAATCAACCAAAAATAACAAATTGTGAGAAGCTGGTGGTGTAGCTCAGGGATAGTACTTGCTTAGTGTTCACAATGCCCTGGATTCCATTGCAGCAACAAACAAATAGTGGTATGTTTCTTTCTTTTTTTTTTTTTTTTTTTTTTTTTTTACAGGATTTCGCTGTTCTTTTAGAGCCTGTCCTGGAACTAGCTCTTCTAGACCAGGCTGGGCTTGAACTCACAGAGATCTGCCTGCCTCTGTCTCCCGAGTGCTTGGATTAAAGGCGTGTGCCACCACCACCCGGCTGACAAATAGTGATATATTTCTAAAGTGGAGTATGATATGTGTGGCATTAGATGAACCAGGCTGAAGATGAAGTTTAGCGGCAGAGCACCTGCCTATCCTGTGTAAGGCTGTGGGCTCAGTCCTGAGTACCACAAAAAGAAAGAGGAAAGGAGAGGAGGGCGAGAGAGAGGGAAGAATGAAGGAGAGAATTAGAAGGTGAGTGAATGGATGGTCAGAAGGAATACATAACAATATGAATAAATTTCACAAACACTGAATAACAAAAAAGACACAGAAGTGCATACCATATGGTTCCATTTACAGGAGCTTCAAGAAGATGTAAAATTATTTGATGGAAGATCTCAGGGTAGTGTGGTGATGTATACCTGCAGTGCCAACTGCTGAGAAGGCTGAGGTGGGAGGATTACAGGGCCTCAGGACCTGTTTTAGATCAGCCTGGAGAATACAAAGAGGATCACACAATGGGGACAAAGAGAGAAGGGATAAACAGAACATGGGTGCCTCTCATGATGGTAGAGTGTGAATCAGGAAAGGACACAGGAAAATCTTCTTGGGTGCTGGAAATGATCTCCATCCTGATTTTGCTTATGCAAAAGTAATTTCATTGTAATGACTTTAGATTAATTATATTTCGGTAAGTAAAAAAGAAATCAAGTATGGTGGCATATACTTTTAATCACAGCACTTGGGAGGCAGAGGTAGGTGGATCTCTGTGAGTTCAAGGCCAGGCTCTTTTATATAGTGAATTCTGAGTCAGGGTTACATAACAGGACCTTGAGTTTTTGTTTTTTAAAAAGAAAGAAAAAAAAAGAGAGAGAAACTAGGCATAGTAGTGCACATCTAACATCCCAACACTTGGGAGGTCGAAACAAAGATCAGGAATTCCAGGTTATCCTTGCTTACTTGGTGAATTCAAAGCTAGCCTGGGATGACTGTGTAAGAGCTTGTCTCAAAGAAAAAAAAAAAAAAAAAAAAAAGGCCAACAAGATGACTCAGCAAGTTAAGGTATCTTCTGACAGCCTAAGTTTGATTCCCCAGGACCTGCATGGCGGAAGGAGAGAATTGACTTCTGTAAGTTGTCCTCTGATTTCCATAAGCCTCCGACCACAGATAAATAAATGTATTTTTTAATACAAAAAAAGAGATAAAACCATGTATTCATTAATTGCACATGTCTTTTAGTCAGGGTTATCAGTGATGTGATGAAGCACCATGACCAAAACAATTTAGGGAGGAAAGGATTTGTTTGTTTGTTTAAAAGTTTGGTTATTTATTATGTATACAGTGTTCTGCCTGCATGTGTGCCTGCAGGCCAGAAGAGGGCACCAGATCTCATTACAGATGGCTGTGAGCCACCATGTGGTTGCTGGGAATTGAACTTGGGACCTCTGGAAGAACAGTCAGTGCTCTTAACCTCCAAGCCATCTCCCCAGCTTCGGAAAGGGTTTGTTTGACTCACACTTCCACATCACAGTCAGGATAGGAACTCGTAACAGGGCAAGAACCTAGGGGCAGGGGCTGATGCAGTGGCCAGAGGGGAGTGCTGAGTGCTGCTTACTGGCTTGCTCCTCATGATTTGCTCAGCCTTCTTTCTTATAGAGCCCAGGACCACCCACAGTGGACTGGACCCTACCCCATCGACCACTAATTTTAAAAAATGCTGTGCAGGCTTACCTACAGCCAGATTTTATGGAGGTATTTTCTCAATTGAGGGTCCCTCCTTTCAAGTAGCTCCTTTCAAATAGCTCTAGCTTGTGTCAAGTTGACATAAAACTAACCAGCACAAGACATTAAACTATTAGGAAAAAAATGCCTCCCAGAGGGAAATAACATAAAGGGATTATTTGTTAGAGTAGTTACTTTTGGTGGTTATTTTGTTTTAAACTTTTTTTTGAGATAGAATCATAATGTAGCCCTAAGTTGCCTTCCAGCTCACAGTAACACTCATGCCTCAGCTTTCCAGTGCATCCTCCACCATACCTCGTGTCCTGGAACTCACTCTGTAGACCAGGCTGGCCTCGAATCCAGCGAACTTCCTACCTCTCCTCCTGAGTATTGGGATTAAAGGTGTGGGCCACCTTTTTTGTTGTTGTTTTGTTTTGTTTTTCAAGACAGAGTTTCTGTGTAACCCTGGCTGTCCCAGAACTCGCTCTATAGACCAGGATGGCCTCGAACTCACAGAGATGCCTACCTTTACCTTCCAGAGTTCTGGGATTAAAGGCGTGTGTCACCACCACCTGGCTCGTATACCTTTTTCTTATTTTTCTTTCTTTTTTTTCTTTTTTCTTTTTTTTTTTTTTTTTTTTGGTTTTTTGTGGGGTTTTTTGGGTTTTTTTTTGTTGTTGTTGTTGTTATTCGAGACAGGGTTTCTCTGTAGCTTTGGAGCCTGTCCTGGAACTAGCTCTTGTAGACCAGGCTGGTCTCGAACTCAGAGATTTGCCTGCCTCTGCCTTCCAGAGTGCTGGGATTAAAGGTGTGTGTCACCACCACCTGGCTCGTATACCTATTTTTAAAGACCATTTTCTTTGACATATACACAGTGGTGCATCCACTGTAATTATAGAACCTTCCGACTTTCCAAAAAGTGAATAATCTGTAGTAATCAGCACCCAGATCAAAATCAGATGATATTAGACCTTCAGAAGTCCATTTATGTGGAACTCTGTGAGTTCAAGGCCAGCCTGGTCTACAAGAGCTATTTCCAGGACAGGCTCCAAAGCTACAGAAAAACCCTGTCTCAAAAAACAAAACAAAACAAAACAAGTCCACTTATGTCTCCTCCCAGTGCTAGTTTTAATATGTACTGTGGAGAGAACATCGTGCCTTGTCTTACTTAGGATCAAATCTGACTTGTTAAGTTTTCAAAGCTACTTTCTCCATAAATATTAGCTATCTCCCTCCTTCCCCTTTCTGTAGGCAGCTAGTTTCTGGAGACTTTCTAAAGATGCTTTCAAGGTCTAAGATCCTAACTAGTTAACAATGAGAAGCACTGTTTTATTTCCATCTGATAGCTGTTAGAGCTTCTGTAGACCCTAGAAACACTGGACTGGTCCCACTACCAGTATACCTTTATTTTCTCATTGGAAGTCATAGGACACTCAATATTATTTAGAATGAGAATATTTATAGTGTAGAAAAGCCCTGGAATTTACATGATGCTGTAATGTTACAGGTTACAGCATTTCTCCAAAGATTTCAAATGATTTTCCCAATGATCTTTAATCATTGTCCCTACTGAATGGGTGAAGTGTGAAAACAAGATTGTGATGGAATTGGGTTCCAGTTATCTGTAACTAATGCTCTTTCAGTGAAAAGCCCAACAGTGTATTTCCCTATATACAGTTCTTAAAGCTTTTTGAAATTTGTTGTCCCCTCTCCCTAGGAAGTTGCCACAAAACCTGTTGTGATTTCTACCCCTACACCCACCATCGTACGTCCTGGCTCCCTGCCGCTCCACTTAGGTTATGATCCACTTCATCCGACTCTTCCTTCCCCAACCTCTGTCATCACACAGGCTCCACCATCTAACAGGCAAATGGGGTAAGTAGGAGAGTAGGAGAAACTGTGGAATCTGGATTTCCTTTGGTTTTTTGAAACAGAGTTTCTCTATATAGCCCTGGCTCTGTAGACTAGCCTGGCTTTGAACTCAGAGATCCACCTGCCTCTGCCTCCCGAGTACTGAGGTTAAAGCGTCTACCACCACCACTAGGCGTTGTTTTTTAAGGATTTATTCTTACTATCTTTTAAAATTATGTGTAGATGTGTTTGGCTTCCTCTGGGTATGTTCACATAAGTATGGGTACCCTCAGTGAGCTGCCCAGTGTGGGTGCTATAAACTGAACTGATCTTCTGTAATAAATGAAGAACCATCTCCAGCCCTTCTGAATCTCTTTCTATGTTTTGAAATTATTTGATAAAAATAGAAACTGTTCTGTTGTTGTTCTCAGATTTATTGTTGTTTTAAGACATGGTCTTTCTAAGTAGCCAAGGCTGGCCTCAGATTCTCATCATCCTGCTTCTACCTCCTGAATGCTGGGGGTTACAGGTACATGCTACTGAAGCTTGCTCCAGCAATTTTGTTTTTGTTTTTGTTTTTGAGACAGGGTTTTTCTGTAGCTTTGAAGCCTATCCTGGAATTTTCTCTATAGACCAGGCTGGCCTTGAACTCACAGAGATCCACCTGTCTCTGCTTCCTGAATGCTGGGATTAAAGGCATGCACCACCACTGCCTGGCTCAGCAATTTATTTTTACATGTCCAAGAAAAGAGTTATTAAGATTGTTTCCTAAAATAAAACATTTTCAAAAATTATTTGCTGGAGATGTTTGTTTAATTATCTCAAATTTCTACTATAGTTACTTCCCAGCCATTAAATTCGATTAATTTGAAAGGTATAAAGTTTTTGCCAGACTGTAAAACCAGAAATGTAGCGCAGCAGTAGAGTACCTCCTCACATGTCCAAGGTCCTGTTAATCCCCAGCACCAAAAAGCCACCAAGTCTTTGCAGACTAAGGCAAGTAGACTGGGGCTTGTTTGACATGTTCTAAAGTACTTCTGTTAAAACCTTAGGACAAAAACAGACTGTCATTTCTCTCCATTTTTCCCATGTTCAAAAGGATGCCAAGATTTAATAGTGCTGTTCTATACCTTTCTTAATGAGAAGACTATTAAAAATATCTAATTATAGGAGAAAAGACCAACAGGTAAAAGGTCGAGATTGTGATATCTCCCTTCATTTCTCCTGCAGATCTCCTACTGGCTCCCTCCCTCTCGTCATGCATCTTGCTAATGGACAGACCATGCCTGTGCTGCCAGGGCCTCCAGTACAGATGCCGTCTGTTATTTCGGTGAGTTTTGTAGATGGGGCAGCCAAACCTACCAGCGCACTGATCCATCCCTTCCACCTGAATGATCATAACCAGAGGACCCTACCCCCCGCCCCCGGGAAATGTGGACCTGGACTGTTTTAGTTGTATTGGCAGTTTGCCCAAACTCTTCACTAACCTCTGCCAGCCCAGCACTGTGAAACACTAGACAAAGACTCATCTGGACAGTTGGCTTCTAGTCAAAGAGTTAATCTTGCCAACCTGCTGATTGGTTGATCTCACTTGGCACACAGCTTCTCCGGCACTGCGCACCGATTTCCTGAAGAGACATCTCTAGCCCTTTTCACGGAAGATGTCCCCACACTAAAGAATGAGATCATTTACTCTGTGACACTCCTTAGGGAAGGTATTTCCTAGGCTGTTCCTACATGTCCTGTGAGCAGATTACACGGAACAGGCCCTGACATGCCAATCTCAAAAATACTCCGTTTGGGGGAAATCAATGCTACCATGTCTCCTTCTCTTAATTTAGCTGGCCAGACCTGTGTCCATGGTGCCCAACATTCCTGGTATACCTGGCCCACCAGTCAACAGTAGTGGCTCCATTTCTCCATCTGGCCACCCTATGCCATCAGAAGCCAAGATGGTGAGTCCATTTCGGCCTAGAGCAGTGTTGGCCTTCTAAAATGAGTAGTTATCAGTCTAGATTTTTCAAAGGAACTGAGCACAGTAGCCTTCTGAAGGTTGAATACAAACTTCTGTGGGCTTGGAAAAGACCCTGATTCCTAAGTCTCCTGTCCCCACCCATATAGCCTGGCACAGGTCATGCATGGCACAGAAGAAGCAGCACAGATTGTTTGGAATGGAACACTTGCCATTTCAGTTCCAGGGTGACAGATGGAGGGGGTGAGTGGGCAGGGGAGCTGGCCAAGTGGTGAATAGCTTTAACCAGTATCTGGCTAGATTCCAGGAGAGCTTTCATCTGGGTCCTATTGCTTCCACAAGCCCTGTCCCCAGCTGTGCCCAGGATGATAGCCAGGGAACAAAGTAGGCATTTTAGGGGTCCAGGTGCATATTTTCTCTCCCTGCCATTGTCTTTTAGTTCCTCTGTTAAGAGAAAATTAGAGTGAGAATTTTAGGTATAAGGTCAGTAATATAAGTATCCTATCCTTGACAAAATCTCAACCTTGTCTTTGTAAACAATCTTTACACACAGAGACTAAAAGCCACTCTGACCCACCAAGTCTCTTCAGTCAATGGAGGTTGTGGAATGGTGGTTGGTACTGCCAGCACCATGGTGACAGCACGTCCAGAGCAGAACCAGATCCTCATTCAGCACCCTGACACCCCATCCCCTGCCCAGCCACAGGTCAGTTGTGCCCTTGAGTGGGAGAACTCGTCCTGTTGCCCTTATTCTTTATGTTATATCTGATTTTCAAGAAGCATGAACTGAGAGAAGAATAAATAAATAAATTTAAATTTCTGGGTATCCTGCTACTTTGGATGTTTTGGGTAAGTTGACTATAGTGAAACAAACTTTTTTTTTATCTACCTGCCTTTGTGTTAGACATAAATGCAAGCAGCATGAATTATGCAGAGCTGTTGCAGAGAAGACCTCTATATTTTTCCCATGTATGAATGATAATCTAATGTAGATTGTGAGCTGATAGAGACTCATATTAAGCCACATCATACACTAAACAAAGGAAGCCTCTATATCTCTCACTTATCTGCTAAAAGTTATCAGTTACCTGATTAGATTTTATAACAGAAAGCACATTATAAGAATATATTAATACAATATGATGTTATAATAGTGAAATATAGTTCATTAGAAGTAAGAAAACATACCAAAAAAAACCTCATTACCTCGAAAAAAAAAAAAAAACCTTGTTACCAATCTAATAATTCCTTTTTATCACAAATAAATGAAAATTTAAAAACAATTTAAAGTCAGCAAAGGTCCCATTTAGCTGCCCAATTTCTTCTCAAAGAAGTCTCTGTTTTAATGTGGTTCTTTAGGAACTGAATAGCTTCGGTTTTCATAATTGTCTGCACTGGACAGGTGACAGTGACCTGGTATTGGTTTCTAGAGGTACATTCACTGCCCGGTCTCTCTTCACTGATGTCACCACCTGCTCCATCAGTACCGCCACATGTCCAGACATTTCATGGCCATATGCTGCCTTAAACCTTGGCCAACAGCACGAGCTTTCATTTGTGTTTTCTTCTTGAAAGCTAAGGTTTCCAATCGTTCTGACCCCTCACTCCCCAAAGCCAGCCAGTCCTGGGAATAAAAGTAGTAACCCTTGCCTGAACTGGATTTTTCCTCTTAGAAAAAGGATGCATCTCCTTGTCAGTCACTACTGAGTTCTCTTCTCTCCTTTCTTATCTTTTCCCATTTGTTTTTGGAGTTTTTGAGAGATCTCAGACTCATGACCCTCCTTTTTTTTTTTTAAGTTATGATTTCTCTGTGTTTCCCTGACTATCCTGGAACTCACTCTGTAGACTAGGCTAGCCTCAGCCTCAACCTCAAGAGATCTACCAGCCCTGCTTCCCAAGTGCTAGGATTAAAGGCATGCGCCACTACTGCCTGGTCTGCCTCAACCTTTCGATAGGCATGTACCATGTCCATTGTCCATTTGGATTTCTTTTATTTGTTTGTTTGTTTGTTTATTATGTATGCAACATTCCTTCCATGTATGCCTACACACCAGAAGGGGGGCACCAGATCTCATTACAGATGGCTGTGAGCCACCGTGTGGTTACTGGGAATTGAACTCAGGAACTCCGGAAGAGCAATCAGTACTCTTAACCTCTGAGCCATCTCACCAGCCCCATTTGGATTTCTTGAAGAAAGGTTCTCCTCAGTACTAGGATCCAGACAGAATCTTTAGTTCATGATATGAGTTAGAAATTCCCTAATTTTTTTCTTTCAAAAGATCATACTAGTCTAAATAAGTAAAATCATGTCTTAATACTGATATTACTAGAAAACTTAATTCAGTAGAGGTTAAAGTAGATTTCCTTTTGCTGGTTTTGGATTTTTGAGACAAGGTCGCACTATGTAACTGAGTCCTAAAACTTACTATATAGACCAGGCTGGCCTCAAACTCACAGTGATCTGCCTGCCTATGCCTCCAAAGTGCTGGGATTAAAGGCATCTTCCTTTCTTGTTGTTGTTGTAGCTCCTGCTTGTCTTTATGTGGCTAATTATTAGCATTGGGAAAGTACTAATAATAGATGCTCAAATTAAAAAATAATTTAGGGGCCAGCAAGATGGATCGGTGAATAGAGATGGTCAGTACTAACACTTATAACATGAGTTCCATCTTCCAAATTCACATGAAGGTGAAAGAAGAGTACTGTGAGCTCTACAGACACATGGCACACACACAGGCACACACACGACAATAAGCTGGGCAGTGGTGGTGCACACCTTTAATCCGTGTGTGTGTGTGTGTGTGTGTGTGTGTGTGTGTGTGTGTGTCAACTAATAGAATGGAAAGATAGTGCTTTATTGCAAAAGATATCACTTGGAGCTTAAAAACAAAAGACAGCTGGGTAGTGGCGGCACACACCTTTAATCTCAGCGCTTGGAGGCAGAGGCGGGTGGATCTCTCTGAGTTTAAGGCTAGTCTGATCCACAGAGTTGAGTTCCAGGACAGGACAGCCAAGGCTACACAGAGAAACCCTGTCTCAAAAAAAAAAAAAAAAAAAAAAAAGGCGCTGTATCAGAAAAGAAAAGAAGGGAGAGAGGAAGGGAAGACGAGAGAGCAAGTGGGCCTTGTGGCACAGGCCTGTAATCTAAGCTTCTTAGGGTAAGGCAGGAGGAACAGCAGTCTCAAGAGTTCCAGAATTTGGGGATAAGAGCCAGGAGGAACAGGAGTTCAAGGTTATCCAGGTCTCCGTGCGTGGAGACCAGCTTGAACTGTAGAGTGTCAACCAACAGAAAAAGGAGTAGCGCCATAGCTCAAACCCTAGATTCAGTTCCCAGGGCCCCCCAAGAAAAGAGAGAGAGAGAGAGAGAGAGAGAGAGAGAGAGAGAGAGAGAGAGAGAACAAAGCAAAACAAGCTCATAAGTGAATCTGGTTTTATTTCTGGAATTCTGTTACACAAAAATAATCAGTTTCCAACAGAACTGTGGCTTCTCTGCCTGTGTACTGGGAGATGGGAGGCAGGGTAGGAAGCTAGCAGACATAGTGATGGGATTTGATGTGGTTACCAGGTCTTTTCCAGTCCTTACTAATCTCTGTAACTCAGCTTTGATTTGGGGGAAAAAGTTGTTTTCCCATCAAGTACTTCTCTGCTCTGCCAAGTGACAGAGTTAAAAACTGGCGCCTGTGGACCCCAGCACTCAGGGTGCCTACGCAGATGGACCAAAATGCAGGTCTGCCTGATCTGTATAGCAAGAAAAAGGACATGAAAAAAGTATTCTTCTTTCCTGGGCAACAGGTCTCTCCAGCCCAGCCCACCCCTAGCACTGGGGGGCGGCGGCGGCGCACAGTAGATGAAGATCCAGATGAGCGTCGGCAGCGATTTTTAGAGCGAAACCGAGCTGCAGCCTCCCGATGCCGCCAAAAGCGGAAGCTGTGGGTGTCCTCCCTGGAAAAGAAGGCAGAAGAACTTACTTCTCAGAACATTCAGCTGAGTGTGAGTGGGTAACTGTTGGGATTGTAGAATCTGGAGAGAAGGGCCAAATCTGGAAGCAGTGCAGCAGTAGAACAAAGGATGGGAATTATTTTATTAGGCTAGATCCAGACATGTGACAGGAAGTGTAAAAAGTCCCATAGTGGTCAGAATTGAAACCCTTCTCCTAGCAGTTGAGAGTGAGACTATCTCCTTTCAGATCTTCCACTAGCATATGTCATTCAGACCCACTTGGAGGCTGGGGATATAGCTCAGCCAAAATGGAGAGAGGACAGCCGTGGGGAGATAAACCCATCTGAATGAAGGGGGTCACAGGGTGTGCTCTCTTGAGTTAGAGCCACCTAATGAGAAGTGGGTTTACCCCAGCTAGTATATATAGGTGCCTTAGGGTTTCTGTTGCTATAAAGAGACACCATGACCACAGCAACTCATAAAGGAAAACATTTCATTGGGCTGGCTTGTGGCACCCAGGCAGATATGGTGCTAGAGAAGGAGCCAAGAGTTCTGCCTCTGGATTGGCAGGCAGGAGGAAAAGAGAGTGAGCCACTGAGCTTAGCTTGAGCTTTTGAACCTCAAAACTCAACTCCAGAGACACACTTTCTCCAAAAAGGGCACGCCTTCTAATAGGCCCTGTGGGCCTGTAGGGGCCATTTTTATTCAAACCACCACAATAGGTTAGTTAACAAAAGAAAAGAGAAAAAAAACTTGAATACAAACAGAATAATTATAATCCAAGCATTCTCTTATTATTTTCCCTTCTTTGGTTTTGTTTTTAAATTGTCTTTTATGGGCCAGTGAGATGACTCAGTAGGTAATGTCTCCACCTGCCATTAAGCCTGACAACCTGAGTTCTACCCTTGGGACCCACATAGTGGAATGAGAGAACCTACTTCCCTAAGTTGTCCTTTGATCTCCACACATGCACAGTGTGGCATGCATGTGCCCACCCACATACATAAACATATACTATATAAATACACATGATAAATAAAATAAATTTAAGAAGGGGTCTGCAGGCTGCCTTGGTGGTAAAGTGCCTTGCCACCAGGTCTGATGACTTAAATGTTATTTTCAGATCCTACTGCTTACTTGGCACTCTCTCCTCTCCCCTCCCCTCCCCTCCCTCCCTTCCTCTCTTTTCTCTCTCTCTCTCTCTCTCACACACACACACACACACACACACACACACACACACACTGTAATATGCACATGTGCACACATACATACAAACAAAATCAACTGTTTAAAAAAGAATACCTTATATTTATGCTTTGACAATTTCATACATGTATACAGTGAGTTTTGTTTTTGTTTCTGTTTTTCAAGACAGGGTCTCTCTATGTAACCCTGGCTGTCTTGGAACTCACTCTGTAAATCAGGCTGGCCTCGAGTTTACAGAGCTCCACCTGCCTCTGCCTCTCAAGTGCTGGGATTAAAGACATGTGTCACCACCACCCAGCATCTGAATGTTTTTTTTTATTTCTAGTTTATTTCTAGAGTTGGAGGGATTGTGAACTGGTTTAAACATGAATGATTTAACAGTATGTCATGGGACCCTAGCAAAGGAGATGAAGGATTTACCTTGTTTTTATAAAACAGCTGCATATTATTACATTCTGAGTGTGTTAGGTTTTATGACCAGAGGACACTAACACTGTTATAATTGTTCACTAGAACAGTAGTGCTCCAGTAAACATTACATACACTTGACTAAATAGTTCTGTTAAAGAGATTTCTAGTCCGGTGGTGGCACACCTTTAATCCCAGCTCTTGGGACACAGAGACAGGTGGATCTCTGTGAGTTCAAGGCCAGCCTGGTGTACAGAGTGAGTTCCAGGACAGTCAGGGCTACACAGAGAAAACTTGTCTCAAAAAATCAGAGAGAGAGAGAGAGAGAGAGAGAGAGAGAGAGAGAGAGATTTCTAAGGCCAAGACATTCCTTTAATACCAATACTCAGGAGGCAGAGGCAGGCTGATGTGAGTTCCAAACCAGTCTAGTGTACATAGGGAGGTTACAAAGTGAGACACTGTGAAAACAAACAAACAAAAACAGATTTCCAGAAGCACACTTTCTTCTTGGTCAGAGAACCTTACATTATTAGTTTGGGGCTAGCCAGATTTATCCCAGGTAACAGTCATTTTCTTTTCCTGTTAGGAGTCCTTTTCATTGTAGGCAGTTTCTGCCATTGACTTCATGACTGTCCTGAGCTCTCTAAAGACTTGCCATATCATGTCTCAATTTGGCAAGGAAAATCTAGACAGTATTCTGCCCTCTGCCCTCACTCACAATATTGTGCTCAACATTAGAACAGTTCTAGCCAGGCGGTGGTGGCACACACCTTTAATCCCAGCACTTAGGAAGCAGAGGCAGATGGTTCTCAGTGAGTTCAAGGACAGTCTGCCTCCCAAGTGTTGAGATTAAAGGTGTGTGCCTGGCAAAAATGAATTTTCCTAATACTCTTTTCTTCCCTCCCACTTCAGAATGAAGTCACATTACTACGAAATGAAGTGGCTCAGTTGAAGCAGCTTTTGTTAGCTCATAAAGACTGCCCTGTCACTGCACTACAGAAAAAAACTCAAGGCTACTTAGGTAAGTGGTTCACAACCTAAGCAAAAGCAGTCAGTTGGTAACCACAGGAATTGAGTGTCCTGGCTGCTTATAATGTCATTTTTTATGGCATATCAGTCCTGCCCAAAAATAGATTGATAGATAAGATTTTTTTTTCCTTATCTATAATCCTAACAAGCAAGAAGGTCCATTCGAGGCCCTCAATTATAGCCGAAAGGTTAGGCAAGCCTGAGCTACATGAAATTTTCTTTCAAGTAAACAAATAAAAAAATCAAGCTTTGAGTATAGTGTTAAGTTATCCTAATTATCTATAATAGTTGGAGAGAAGGAGCAGCAATATTTTCTGGGCCCGTTTTATCCAAGTGCCCTGCCATCTTCATAGTTCTCCCATGAAGCAGCCATTCCACTTGTAAGTAAGAAAACTCAGACCATTTACCAGAAGCCGCACACAGTAGGAAAGTGGTAGAGATCTTCTGGTCCCAGAGACCGCCCTGGTCAGGAGAAACGCCAACAGCGCCTGGGGACTGAAGAATGGGGCTTCAGGGCAGATCTCATCTGTCTGTAACCAGAGATGTGCACAGAGCTGTGCTTAGCATCAGCACTGCTAGAAAGTAAATATGACAGTGGATCGCTTGTTATGGAGAATAAAATTAAAAACTGCTAATTTTCCTTTTACAGATTAAATAAATGCATAGAAATAGTTTTTCCACTAGTTGTCTTTATCATTTCAGAAATGTATTCTGAGAAAAATTTTAAGAATCTTTATTGAATTATTTATTTAAATTTTAATATGTAGTTCCGGGTGCATTGACTTGTTAAACAGGTACTGACTGAGTTCCTGTTCTGGGCCAAGCACATACTGGGAATAACAGGAACCAAACAGATTAGGTTAGACCCTGTCCTTAAAAGCATGTATTTTAGTAGATAAATTAATTAAAAGAAATAAGTAAAATATGTGATATATAGTAAATGTAAAAACAAAAAATAATATATCTGGGGACTAGAGAGATTGTTCAACGGATAAGACCATTTACTGCTCTTGCAGAACACCTGGGTTCAGTTTCCAACACACATGTGGCAGTTTATAACTGCTTGTAACTCCAGTTCCAGTTGATCTGACGCCTTCTTTTGAATGTCTCAGGCACTAAGCATATACATGGTTTATGGACATACATGTAGCTCTAACTGCCTTTGAACTCTCAATGTAGACCAGGTTGGCCTTGAACTTAGAGATCTGCCTGACTGTGCCTCCAAAGTGTTGGGATTAAAAGCAAACACAACTGTGCCTGGCATAAATCTTAAAGTACTAACAACAATAATATAGCTGGAAATGATACTACAGGAATGTAATCCCACTACCAAGGAGGCTGGGACAGGAAGATCATAAATTCGAGGCCATCCTGAGCTATACAGTGAGAGACCTTGTCTCAAAAACACAAAGAAAGAAGGAGAGGAAGGGTCAGGCACTGTGATCCACACCTATAATCCCAGGACTCAGGAGGCAGAGGTGGGAAGACTACTGCAAGTTCAAGGCCGACGTGATCTACACTGGGAGTTCCAGGTCAGCCTGCCTCAAATACAAAGAGCTGGTGCGGCTGGATGGGGACATGACATTGGAATGAGATGGAGAGCAGTCTTGGTTATAGCAAGGGCTTCAGACAGTGAAGGTGCAACAAGAAGAGTTTGATACTCTGCTAGAAACATCAGGGTGCACAGGCAGTCTTCCTAGGTCAGCTATTCAGATGTTCATGGGCTAAAGAGGATAAGGACTGGGTATTCTTCAGTATGCAGTCAATACATAGTTTTCTACTCAACCCTGCAGTAACTCTGACTAGTAGTTAGTCCACTAAACTACTTATTATTAATTATTACAACAAAGATGTGTTTAATTACTACTTTGTGGCATCCACATTATATAGGTACTTGACATAAGATAAGGCATTGTCCCTACCTTTCAGAGACTCATTGGGCCATTGTGAACCTGTAAATGAGGTAAGGACCGATATCCTAGTAAATGGGCCCCTGGATTGGGAGCTTCTGCTGTATACTGAATGAGGCTCAGTAAATGCCTGATGGCTGAATGAATGTGTGCTCTGAACGCACAGAGCACAGACAGTTTCCTGGGGTAATAAGGAAATGTTTACAGAGGAAGCAGTATTTTAATTCTCTTGAATCCATTTGAACAATGACTCAGGCATTCATCAAGAGGTCAGAGACACCCCAAACCCAGACATGGTGGTACACAGCTATAATTAGAACTCTTGGGAGGCAGAGGCAAGATTGAGAGTTTGAGTCCTACTTGGGCTACACGAGACAATGTTACCAAAAAACAAAACAAAACAAAAAAATTCACTTACTGGAGATTTTTCATAATTTCTTATATCTGTTTAGGCAACTATAAAGACTAACATTTAATAAAAAACCCCTTGACCAGTTACTATACTCTGTATGCAGCTCAGATGTTATGTGCATTGTCAGTGTACTGATTGATAGGAGACTCTGACAGACGTTTGTGCTTTACATGTTAACTGAATCTCGGCTACTCACAGCACCACTTAATTGTAAATTGGTGTTTAGCAGGCTTGGGTGTAGTGCCAGCTACATGCTACAGGACCGATTTTTTAAAAATGGAATGATTAAACCATTCATAGATGACCTGCTTCTGGGTCGGGGTTTTGTACGTAGCAGAGCAACTCCCTCACTGCAGTCAGCCCTCGACACAAGAGTTTAAACCATTCATAAAAAATGGAATGATTTAATTCATTTGAGAATTAATGACAGCAGACTAAGGAATCTATTAAGTGCAGGTAAAGGCATTTGATGCCTAGCCTGATGACCTGAGTTCAATCTCAAAATTCCACATGGTAGAAGGAGAGAACAGACTCCCAAAGGACCTTCACATGCATGCTTTGATGTGTGTGACCATACTTATAATGAACATGTATATGCACAAAATAAATGTAAAATTTTAAAAAGAAATGGAAGAGAGATTCATTTTCTTCTATAAACAGAACAAGTTCAAAGATAATTTCAGATAATTCAGAATACTTCTAGTTTCTCCTCACTACACATGATTTGTTAGCCTGGCAGTGGTGATGCACACCTTTAATCCCAGCATTTGGGAGGCAGAATCTGGTGAATCTACTAGTTTGAAGCCAGCCTGGTCTATAGAGAGATTTCCAGGACAGCTAAGGCTACACAGAAAAACTCTGTCTCAGGAGGGGGAAAAAAGTGATTTGTTGATTTCTGTAGCCAGTGGACCCACATCCCTTTAAAAGTTTTTCTTGAATCTTAAAATTTGCAGGCAAATGGATGGATCTAGAAAAAACCATATTGAGTGAGGTAACCCAGACCTAGAAAGACAAACATCATCTGTACTCACTCATAAGTGGCTTGAGGATATAAAGCAAAGAACAAACAACCTGCAGTCTACAACCCCAGAGAACCAAGACAACAAGGAGGACCCTAAGAGAGACATACATATAGAACCACATAGGAAGGAGAAAAAGACAAGATCTCCTGAGTAAATTGGGAACATGAGGGTCACAGGAGAGGGTAAAAGGGGAGGGGGAGGAAGGGAAAGGAGCAGAGAAAAATGTATAACTCAATAAATACAATTATATATATATATATTTTTAAAGTTTTTTTTTTGAGGAAATAAGTGGCTTTCACTTTGGTACTAGATAAGGACAGGCTTTAGAAAAGAGCTTTTACCCACCTAGGAGTGAACACACAAGAGCCTCCTTCATCACAGAGCTTTAAATGTGATGCTATGCCCAGCTTTGGCTCAGTTCTTGCTTCTTGTATCTTTTGTTCTCTAGGTCATTTCATGCTTGAGGTCAGGATTCTGGAGATTCTTCTCCAAAAAGAAATATGAGATTCATTTTCCTTTGTGTTCTTTGTAATTGTGCTTTCTGTTCCTCTATCCTGTTTTCTGACCACTGGCTCTCCACTGTTTGCCCTCCTTCTTGGCAGAGAGTCCCAAGGAAAGCTCAGAGCCAACGGGTTCTCCAGCCCCAGTGATTCAGCACAGTTCTGCAACAGCCCCCAGCAATGGCCTTAGTGTTCGATCTGCAGCTGAAGCTGTGGCCACCTCGGTCCTCACTCAGATGGCCAGCCAAAGGACAGAACTGAGCATGCCCATACAGTCACATGTGATCATGACCCCACAGTCACAGTCTGCGGGCAGATGATGCCTCCCATGATGGAGAAATCCCCAGCCAGAGCTCGCCTGCCTGAGCCAAGAGAGAGATCAACTTACTCCTCCCATCTGCCTTAGATGTGGCAGTATGGGAGAGGAAGAAATTGTGTGTTGTGAGTATGGACAGATGTGGGGCTTTTCTCTTTAGCCACATGAACATGTACGCTTGACACCTGTACTAGGGGCTTCTGGCCCCAAAGCCACATAGATCATCCCCCAAGGGTGGGGTTTCTTATGTACCTACAGCCAAAGGCCTTTCCATATGGTCCGAGCAGTCATCCCCGGCCCTGATGCATGTGTGCCTGTCTCTTAACACTAACCCTTGCACTTGTAGGTTTGGGGTTTCTCAGTGCCCTCTCCTCCCATTGAGCTGTGGCTGTTATCTTCTTATTCCTTACTAGCATGCCACTTCCTGCCAGATAGAGGGAGACTAGATTTGATGGCATGTTACTTGCTGTCCCAACCCCAACCACCCCATGCACTCAGGACTTTGTCTCCCAATAGCTGCTTGTTTATCTCTCCCCCCTTCCTAAATTACAGTGAAACATTCACTTATTGAGAATGTATGAAGTAGCAGTATTTCCACCTCCTCCATGTGCTCTATTCCTTATTCCTATCTGCTACCAAAAACAAACACAAACAAACAAGCAAAAAAAGCAAAACTCTGAAAGTTTGAATCATTTTTCATTTCCAAATCTATTGGGTGCCTCATTTTGTCTCTTGACTTTCCTTGGTCGAATGGTGGGGTTTTTCCTACTTCCCCACTATGCCTTGGGAACTTCATCTTGTGGCCTTATTGTTAGTGGCAGTGAAAAGGGAGAGAGCCTGGGATCTAACGGGGCTTCCCTGTCTCCTTCCCTACCTTCCCGTTCTAATCATCAGGGCAGACAGGAACAGTGTAACTTAAAACTCGTTCCATCATGTTACTGAATTAACTAATTCTTCTATGTTTTATAATGGCTTACTGCCTAACATCTGCATATTGTCATCTTTGGTCATCTGTGGGCTCTTTGTTCCCCTGCCCACATCACTGCCTTTCCCCACCATAACTCCTTTAGATCAGCCTCCTGGAGGTCATCAGACAGAGCTACTTTCGCTCTGTTCCTCATTCCTCCCACAGCTCTCAGCCTCCCTTCTTTTCTACGATATGGCTGTGTCCACCAGTGTCCATCACCCTGGTCATACCCTACCTTCTTTCTCAGCAGGTTCCTGTCCTAGCCACTAGGTGTCTCTAGTCCTAAAATTTCTTTGAACTCTGTTTTTTTGGGTTTTTTTGTTTTTGTTTTTGTTTTGTTTTTTTGTTCTCTGTCCCTCAAATGTAGTGCTTGTCTGAGGCATAGGCTCCAGGGCTCTGAAACATGTGGTCAAGGTCCTGAGTGGCTTTTAAGTATAAGAGTGAGTGTAGAGAGAAGAGGAAAATGTGTACCCTCAACAGAGTGCTCAGGACACGGACTGTCTGCCTGGGAGATTGGTAAGTGTGGCTATTGGCTACCATTATTTGGTGGGCTCCAGGGAGAGAAATACACCCCTCCTCTTTCTCATCTTTCCTTGACTCTGAACTGTGCAGTCTCTTTCAGAGCCAGAGCCCTGTGGATAGATAGGTCAGCTTTAATAGCTTTTGAGTAGAAAACCCTCCCAGTTGTACCAGAGCCACCTTCTGCCATCTGCTCAAGCCAAGAGTCTTCTTTTCTGTCTCCATCTTATATGTACAGAATAACTGCTTGCTTCCTTTTTTATTGTCATGGAGGAAAGAAAATGACCTTATATGATTATTTCCTCAGAGTTAAGATTAGTGAGCCCATCCTGTAACATGTTCTGCTGCATTGTATCTAAGTTTTCCCCCCTCCTCTTTAGAGTCAGTGCTGAACAAGCCACACCCAGTGGGGAAAAAGAAAAAAAAAAAAACAAAAACAAAAACAGGAGATGGCTTTCTCATCTTCTACCACCAGGGATTCAACAGGAAGAGCCCCTGAGGTGACAAGGCTAGCAAATGCCACCAGATGGTCAGGGGCAGGTTATTGTCTCCAGGGATTTCACTTGGCTTTAGAAACTCACTGCTATGTTTGTGTTCAGGACTTCTTTAGATGACTGCTTCCTGGGATTTGTTTTTCCTATTTATAAATTTTGCTTCTTTTTTGTTTTTTTTTTTTTCAAGACAGGGTTTCTCTGTGTAGCCCTGGCTGTCCTGGAACTCACTTTTGTAGACCAGGCTGACCTCGAACTCACAGAGACCCACCTGCCTCTGCTTCCAAGTGCTGGGATTGAAGGCGTGCGCCACCATCGCCAAGCATCTTTTTTTTCCTGTCTTCCCACTAGCAGCCTTGCACTAAAACATGTCTGAGTTTATGGCTCCCAAGGAGCCTTCATAGACTTACCCCATCAGTCAAGGATTTTTTTTTCTTTTGGTTTTTCAAGACAGGGTTTCTTTGTAGCCTTGGTGTCTGTTCTGGAACTAGCTCTGTAGACCAGGGTGGCCTCAAACTCAAAAAGATCTGTCTGCCTCTGCCTCCCAAGTGCTGAGATTAAAGGCATGCGCCACCACCGCCCGCCCGGCTCAGTCAAGAATTTTTAAGGTTATGAGTCGGTGCCACTTCATCCATACCCTGCCAGTCTAGTCTGCCCGTGTGGATATCTAGTATATATGGAGGTTCTTCATTACTTTCTTTACTCTCAAGTCTTTTGTTTTCATAGCAGGAAGTCAGCGTTAGGGCCCTGAATGATGCAGGGCACCATAGAACTGTAGTAGGGAAGCAGCACTGAAATTAGGGGCAGGACAACCCCGATACCTCTATAGTTGGTTCTCAGTGTTACTCTAAGAAAGCAGAGCAACTGCTTACAATGAAGCTTCTCGTATAATCAAGGGGTTGTCACCTACATTACTAGTGCCAGTGGTCAACCTTGGCCTTTGCCTTCCAGACTTATCTGAACCAGAACCAGCTGTCATACAGCTGTCATACACCCTTCTTGACATCCTGTGATGTGTCATAGAAGAGTCTTTGGTCATGGCTATTTGGGGTTCTGTATGCTTCTTGTATTTGGGTATCAATTTCTATCTTTAGGTTTAGAATATTTTGTGCTATAATTTCATTAAATAATTTGACTGATCCTTTTGAATTTATCTCAGGTCCTCCTTCTACCCCATGGGTTCTGAGGTTTGTTTGATCTTTTGAATATATCCCAAGCTTTCTGAAAATGCTGCTCATGTTAATTTTATAAACATGTGTGCATGCATGTGTGTGAGTCTGACTGTCTGAGTATATTGTTGTCCCAACTCTGTCCTGCATTCCCGAACTCTTTGATCTTATCTCTTGGTGATGCTTTCTGGCTAGGTTTTCCAGTTGATTGTTTCTTTCACGTTGGTTTCTGTGTGGTTCCTTTTCCATGTTTGAATGCCCTCACTAAAATTTCCTTCTATGTTTCTGACTTTCTCCTCCAGCTTACCTACTATTTTGTTCACTTTGGAGGTTTTGTATACAGTTCCTTAGTTCATTCATGTGTATTGTAGACTTCTATACAGTCATTCATCCTTTTTAAAAATGAAACTCTGAATTCTTTCTCTGACATTTCAGCCATCTCAGGACTTTGAGTTTCCATTAAGGAAAAGTTTGGAGTATATCCTGGTGGGTTATTGTCTCATAATCTTTGTGTTTCTCTGTGGTGTTTTATGCATCAGTTGAGATGGATATATCCTCCAGTTTTAACTCATCTTTTTCCAACTCTGTTTTGTTTTGCATAAGTCCACCACGCCCTTCTTAAGAAACTATCAGGAAGGAGCTGAGAATGTGATAGCTGAGGACTCTTCTGAGCGACCACAGACTTGCCCTGTGCCCCTGCTACCCTACTCCTACATAATAAAGCTTGTTCAGAGTTGGGAAGGCTGAGAAACCTCCCAGCACCCAAGGAGAACTAGAAAGGACATGGCTCCTTCCTCCCCCCTGTCCGAGGCTGTAAGCCCCAGACCACACACTACAGGGAGCTGTGCTGGTGAAGCTCGCCTTGCCACCTGCCTTCCCTCTCCCATTCTGTAGCTCTTGACTCCTTTTCTTGATTCACTTCTCCCATCTCCTCAGCGGCCTGCCTTCCAGCACCATCATCCTGAGAGATTGAGTGTTTCACAGCCTGAACCACCAAAAGACATGTACACACAAGATGTTTCCTCTGGCTTCTGAGAGAGGCTCCTTAAGGGTGCTAACTCCTGAGATTACTCTCCCCAGTTTGTCCCTTTCATAACTTTCTTCCCATCCCCAGATCACATTTCCATTAATACTATCTATTATGTCCACAAAAAAAAATACATTATAGTCAGTTTGTTCACACTCTGGTCTTCCTGCTGTGTCAACGTACTTTTTTGTTGATGAGCTCTTCCTACTTTCTTTAGCTATGTTTGTCCAGAGTGAGAGATATGAGGAACCTAAGGCCTGCTAGAAGACCCCAGCCCACTACAGTCCAGCTAGACATTCTTAAAAAATTCTGTTTGTCTCTATACACACGGATATGCATAGACAAATCCTTCTACTCTGGCCAGAGTAGTGACCCCACAGGAATGAGCACAGTGCTGCTGGCCAACATTTCCACCTTCTACACTGTTACTTTGAGGTAAAATCCTACCCCAGAATGAACAAAGGCTGGTGAGAATAGGGCAGGTTGTGTCCTTGTAGGTACAAGTTTCTATTTTAGCTAGTAGGTGCTTTCTTTGGTTTTTATTTTGTTTTTTAATGTGAGTTGGTAGGCTATACCCCACCTACTGGTGAGTAAGGTTTTAGTTGTTAAATGGCTGTGAGCTCTAGTTTCACTGCCTTTACCTAGGGCAGTGGTCCCGGAGCAGTGTCAGCAGCACCATCATCTGAAGCTACCCCAACCTCCTGAGCTGAACACTCTGAGGGTACACACTAATGTATGAGTCCCTTGGGGACAGGTTGGGAGCATCTTAGCTCTGGAATGACAAGGATTACTTTAAATGTGTTCTCTGCCTTCGCATTGACTTTTCATTTCCTCTGAGTCCCCCTTCCTTTCCCATTAAAACAGCCACCACCACATCACTCATCCAAGTTCTAGGCTTTCTTTCTTTTAGTCTTAGCTCTAAAACCATTTCCTACATTGTTCTTGGCAGGACTTATCCGTATTTCCTTGCAGGCTTCTTTGCATCTTCGGTTACATTAAGAACCAGCAGGAAAGCCGGGAGTGGTGCAGCCTTTGATCCCAGCCAGCACTTGGGAGGCAGAGGCAGGCAGATTTTTGTGAGTTCAGGGCCAACCTGGTCTACATAGGGAGTTCAAAGCCAATCAGAGTACATAGTGAGACCCTGTCTCAAAATAAATAGACAACAAAATCAGCAGGAGCCATAGCTGTCCAATTTCACACACACACACCCCTCGTGCAGGCAGGGATATTAGCCTCCATCCCACAGTGGAGCCTGCTACATCCTGATAGAGTATCTCTTGAGAAGAAAGAAATGTGTATCTATGAATATATCCCTGTTCACCTATATATTTTTGACATGTAGCAATACCTGTCCATCCTGAAGGAGCTCAACCCAGTCCGGGTCCCCAGGCTCCAATGGTAGGACTCACAGGTGGGAGGGTCCAGTGCTACGGGCTGTTTTGTTACAGAATTGTCTTTTCTCCTTTCCTTCCACCCAGTTCAGCATGACCCCTGTGAGCAGGCTCTCACAATCTCCTGGGGCGGGGCTGAGGCAGGGGCTTTGAGCTTACCTTCCTAACCGTCCCGTCCTACTTCCCCCAAGCCATGTAGTAGTTATCACCCAGTCTTGCCTTCTCCCTCCGTCCTTCGCCCTGACATATACTGTGCCTTATTTATGCTGCAAATACAACATTAAACTATCAAGAGAGTCAATGGTGTGTTTGGTGATTCCTGCTCAAGCCCATGAGGCCTGCTGCTCACTCCTACAGACTCACTGGGCTCTCGTGTCTGATTATCCTCTCCCTTCAGTTTCTTAGGGCAGAAAGCAGAGTTCTCATCTCTGCTTTATGTAACATGGCGTTACAAAAAGCACAAGAGTTGAGATCTTTGAACTGCCTCAGAGACAAGGCATCACCAGAATACTGACTGGAGAACGTAATGTGTGCTTCATGGAAATGGGAAATGGGATTGCCGTAAGAACAGGAGCCTCTTCTCTTTCAGTGTTTTGTCCTCAGCCTCTTCCAGCAATGGAAGAAAAGAGCCAGGCGGTGGTGGCACACGCCTTTAATCCCAGTAATCCCAGCCTTTAATTCAAGTACTTGGGAGGCAGAGGCAGGTGGATCTCTTGTGAGTTCAAGGCCAGCCTGGTCTACAGAGCAAGTTCCAGGACAGGCTCCAAAGCTACAGAGAAACCCTGGCTAGAAAGAGAGAGAGAGAGAGAGAGAGAGAGAGAGAGAGAGAGATTATGTTTGTTTATTTATTTGTTTGATTGTTGGTTGGTTTTTCCAGACAGGGTTTCTGTGTAGCCCTGGCTGTCAGGGAACTCACTCTGTAGATCAGGCTGACCTCAAACTCAGAGATCCACCTGACTCTGCCTCTCCAGTGCTGAGACTGAAGGCATGTGCCACCACTACCCTGCTGAGACCCTGTAGATAGACAGGCAGACAGAAGTCTGGGAGTTGGGAATCCAAAGGCAAAATAGTGTAACAGGTTAGATGGATTAATTTATACTGTGGTGGAGGTGCTCTGCCCAGATGATGGGCAGAGTCGGTAGGTTTACCACCCACAACAGCCTCCTGAGGACAGGAGCTGGTAGGGGCTGGAGATTGGGCTCAAGGTCTCTGCGCCAGTTGCTTTGTTTAGCTGAGGATGAATTGAAGTTTACTGAAGCCACAGAGTGAATTACAAGAACAAAGAGGAAAATTTGAATTCCTATTGGGCTGTGGTGGTATACACTTTTAATCCTAGCTCTGGGGAGCCAGAGGCATGAGATCTCTGTAAATTCAAGGCCAGCCTGTTCTATGTAGTGAGTTCCAAGACAGCCAGGGCTACTAGTGAGACCCTGAAAACAAACAGAAAACCTGAACTCCTGCCAGGTAGGTGTTGGTGGTGTACATCTGTAACCTAGCACTTGGGAGGCTGAGAACAGAGGCCAGCATACTCTGGGCTACACAGAGTCCAATCTTAGAAAATCACAAGCAAGCTGAGCATGGTGACACACACCTTTAATCCCAGCACTCAGGAGGCAGAGGCAGGATCTCTGAGTTTGAGGTCAGCCTGGTCTACAGAGTGAGTTCCTCCAGGACACCCAGTCACATAGAGAAACCTTGTCCCAAAAAACCAAACAAACAAAACAACAACAAAACTCTTATCCACAAACCTAAATGTAAGTAGGTTACAATAAAGTACTATCCCCTTCAGCAAAAAAAAACCAAAAAAACAAAAAAACAGGATGAATGGAATGTGTAAAGGGCTTTTACAATATGAGATGAGAAATGTTGAGACGCCATGGAACAAGCTAAGGCCTTTGATGGGAGCCATCAAGAGGCTAAAGCCAGCGCAGCCCAGGGAGAAGAGTGTCCAAAGAAAGCCTCTGGAGATGGTAAGTTTCCCAGGACTGGCATGGGGGAGGAAGGCAAAGGTAATCACAGTTGACATTTGGAAAATATCAGCTCTGTGCTTTGCTACAAAAGCCAAATAATGCTTCTCCTAGGAAGTAATCCATTTTATTGTTCCCGTATGTAAGGAAAGGGAGGCTGAGAATGTGGGCAGCTTGCTTTGCTCACAGCTGAGTCAGAACCCTGACATGGTCCTTCTTGAGTTTAGGTTAGAAACATGGCACACTGGCACCTGCACAGCAGGTAAGGCTAGGACTGGCTCCTTTGAAGGGCCCTTCCCTGACCTAGAGTGATTCTGTCTTTCCTTGAAGCAGGACCCTGGTCGCCAGTAGTATTTTAGAACCCAGCGCCAGGCAGAGGCTGACCAGAGGGAAGTGGAACAATGTAGCAATCCCTCCCCCCAAAGAACTCTGTCCTTAAATCCTCCCAGATAGGCCTGGAAGAGGCGGTGGTCGTACCTGACAGCGAAGAGCAGTGGCCACACGGTGGCAGCAGAGCTTCAGCTGTAGCGTTCCTTTCCCCGGTTCTCTAGCAAAGATGGGCCAGGTCCATCCAAAAAATTTACAAGCCACCACTACTCATTAAGACCCCAAAGCCCACTTGTATCTCACTTTATTGTCCATAGGTAAGTCATAGAGTAGGGATTCCACGTTTAACCTCATCAGAAGTAGTGGGGATTAGAATGGGCTGCAGTCCTGACTGTCCATCTCGGGCATGGGGAGGGACCAAGGTGGATCATCCTAGCCTACTATTAACCCTAGTTCCTTCCCATCCAGAAAATAACAATCCTGACAGGAGTTTCTTCAGTCCAGAGTTGATCAATTGAAGCTCTCCAACCTGTTGAAGAATTGGGGGTTCTTATAAGGCTCCCCCAGGGCCTAGCTCTGACAAACCGTCTGCAATTAATGATGCTTCCTGAGCTCTGGAGACAGGATTTATGCATCTAATAAAGTCTGTAACTCCAGGCTTAGGCCGGGGGTAGGAAGCTGAGAGCAGAAAGTACCCAGGGGGGTATGAGAGGGGGTCCCAGGTGGCTCTTAATAGAGCCATGCATTTCTGTTGCCTGTCTAGATTTCCCCTCAGGCTGCTGCTGAGGTGGGGGTGGGGGACAGCAGGTATAAGAGGATGGTGTGCCAGTGGGGAGGTGGATGGCAGCATGGATTCCAAGCAGGTTGCTGTGCTGCTGCTATTGCTGCTGCTGGACTGGGGTCATTCTGAAGAACCAGGGAGCCGGGATGGAGACCAGGTCTTTGCAGTGAGTGAGCAGCCTTCCCCCTGCCCCGCACTCTTTCCCCTCCGCTGAAACTTGTGATATAGGCTTGGATATTCCCAGGCTGCTAGGAAAATGGCTCCTAGAGTCATTCTTTTCCATGTCGTCACCCTCTCATCACAGGAGGAAGATGAGGGACCCCACCCACCACAGTATGCCCAGACTCCCGGGTCCCTCTTGCGTTTTCTGCTCCAGGCCATGGAGAGACCTGGCAGAAGCTCAGCCTTCCTGTTTCATCCTCAGAGGTGAGTTTCAGCAGACAGAGGCTGGGAAGGCGGAGGGCTGAGGACAAGGTGAAAGAAGCTTAGATGGAGCTTCAACTGAGGCTGAATCTCTCCAAAGGTTTGGCAGAAATACCTGGGGGTCCTGGAGCAAAGAGCAGCTAAGTCCCCGGGCTAGAGAGTTCTGGAGCCTGGCTGTCCCTCAGCGCTTTGGGAAGAAGTAACAGCAACAACCCTGTGATGTGTCTGCATGCAAAATCACCCCCCATGTGCCCCCAAATAAAATGGTCTGCCTTCTGAATCCATGTGTTTGGACAAGACTTTCTGGGAATGGGTGGCGGATTCCAAGGGCAAGAAGCATAGCCCCCTCACCTCCACTCAAATTCCCACCGTTCTGCTCAAAGGGTCCCCAGCTAACTGCACCTAGCCTCCTTCCTGCAGTAAAAGATAACATGGAGTTAAGCAGAAGAATAAAAACACCATGTTTATTCCTCTGACAACCACATGACCCACGGCCAAAGAAAGCAGGGTTTAGGAAGCCAATGAGCAGCATTTATTCTAGAATCCATTAGAATTCCAATTTACTTTTCATTTGTCATCCATAGAATGAGAGCAAATCCTGTGCTGGCTGGGGTCCTCGCTTGCCTATGCCTTCCTCAGTTTCAAGGCAGGCAATCTGTGTCAGAGGTAGAGATGGCCTCCCTGGAGGGTTCCAGAGCTACACAGATGTATGGGGCCAGGGTCAGGAGCAGCAAGAGGTAAAAGGTGCACATCCATCACTGCAGCCAGGATGCTACTTGCTACCCGCCATGATCCTGAGGTACTGAAGGGCGCGGCGAGCAGCCTCACCTCGGGCTGCCTCCCTGGTAGTTGCAGAACCATGACACACAGTGGCTGGCTGGGTGGACAGCTCCACTAGGCACTGGCAGAGCCCACTCAAGCTCAGTTCTTCTAGAAACCAAGAAAGAGGAAGGAGGCAGTATGGGGGAGAGAGGGCACCAAATATGGTGTACGTCACCCATCTCCTAACCCCTTTATACTTCCTCTGGTCCTGTCCCCTCCACCGCCCTCCCCCCCCAGTCTCCTAGCTGCGCATACCAATGTCCAGGTAGCTGACATGGAAAGCCTGCTCCTCAGAGAGCTCATTGAGGACACTGCAGCAGGCAGAGCCCAGAGTCCCTAGAGAGCCCACAGAGCAGCTACGAAGGGACAGAATCTTCTCTCCCACAGAATTGCGCAGGGAATCCCAGGTGCAGCCTGGCCCCCGGTTCCGAAGCCCATCCAGGCGGGAGCTCACGCCCTAATAAGATGAGAGGGAGAAAGCTAAGCTCTGGCACGCTATCTGCTGGAACCTCATCTGGTTCCAGGTAGCCTTCCTCACCCCAGTAAAGATTGCTTACAGGGTGAGCTTTCCCCAGTGAGTGCAGCACAGGCTGAGGGGACTGTTTGGTAAGAACAGTTTCTTACCGCAGTTTGGTAAGAAAACTGGAGGAGAAGCAGGTCCAGACTCTCCCAAACCACAGACAGACCCAACCCAATTCCCCACCATGTCCTGCACTGTGAACCACATGGCAAACCCACATAAACCACTTACAATGGAGAAGTGATCGTCATCAGGTTCTGCCTCGTTACCATCCCGGGCGTCCAGAGGAACTGTGTGCACTCGAAGCAGCATTTTAGCTGCTGCGTTACGCTTTGCCAGCTTTTTGGACGTGCCACTGCCTGAGTGTGGGGAAGGGATTTCTGAGAGGCCAATGCTTTCCCTCCAGGTTATACTTGGAGCCCCTCAATGGGATGTCACTGCACATGGGAGCTGGAAGTGAGCTGGTGAGGGGCAGGGAGGACGAAGGAGCCAAGCCAGGGGCTGCAAAGCAAGGAAAGCTGGGGACAGAGCAGAGCCAGGCAAAGGACCACCTTGTGCTCCTGGTCAGAGTGCGAGAGAAACAGTTACCAATCTCAACGAAGCGTTCCACCCGGCAGGTCATGGTGAATTCTTTACGGTGAGCAGGCCCAGACTCCTGGGTCACCATGTACTCTGGCAAACGCCAGCCTTTTTGTACCACGAGCTCCTTAAAGGGAGACAGACACAGGAGGCCAAGGCTAAGTGAGAAGAGGTTCCTTAGCAACATGGCCTTCTTCCCAGGAGCCTCAGCCTTTGGGTAAGGATGACCACCCTCCCACAGTAACAAACCCCTGCCTCAGAGCCCTAGTTCAGAGAAGACAGCACAGACCTGCAGAGCACCAACGGGGTTGCACTCCGACTGCTGCGGGGAGACAGGGGGCTGCATCTCCATGGAAGGGCTCCTGAAGGGAAAGGGCCCAGGCCATTGCTGAGGAAAATGGTTTCTTCTGAGCTCAAGTACCAGCCTCAAGTACCAGCCACTGCCACCATCTCCTAATTTATTATCAGGCAGGGAGCTATCTGTCCAAACATCCAGTCTTTCTTCTCCCAACCCCCATCACGCCAGCCCTGCTAGTTCCCAGAAGAATTTCGATGTGGAAATATGTCAGCAGTTTCCCTATGACGAAGCCAGTTCTAGAAGTACCTTCTGGGCCTCAAACATGGGACCTACCGTGCCCAACTCAGAAAATGGAGCCTGTAAAATGTTTGAACAATTTAACATCTTCACATGGCTATTTAAACATCATAAATTACCTCCATCTCAAGCTTGTCAGCAAGCTCTGGTGCAAATTTTTCAATTATTCCATTCTGTGTTTACTTAAAGGCTTCTTCATCCTAACCTGCCTGGGTCCAAGGGCTAAGAGGCTAGGGACCTCCCTCCTTCTGAGATATCAGGGAACTCAAGGTACCTGGTTAGTAGAGCAGATGGAACAGGAGCGGCAACTTCTGCAGCAATGACAGGCGCGTCCTCAAGCGGTGAGGGATCTAGAAGAGAAAAAGCACTTCCCGAGGGGAAGGGAGCCTTGGATTCACACCCATGTAGAAAGGAATGGGGGTGTGAGGTCCTTCTGACCTTTCCATCCCCCGAGAGAATTCCTTCCCCCATCCAGACTCAAAGAGAGCCTCAGCAACAGCTCTTCCTCCAGGGATCCTCTGCTGACCCACAATGGCTCAAAAGCACTGAGGTTGGGGTGGGGTGGGGGGGCTCAGAAAAGTCTCTTCCTACCCAAACAACAAGCTCCAACCTAAATGTGGAAGAGGGAAAGTCATGTTGCTAGAAAGTGGGCATGTTGGGACCAACTTATCAGCCTTAGTCTCCACCCCCTATGCCCTACCCCAGCCCCAGAGCAGCCACCACCCATCAAAGGGGCTATTACCCTGAGCCACCCTAGAAACACCCTGTTCAGCTTTGGAGGAAATTCTCGGGAAGGGGCCGGGTTAGAGTGGCCGGGCTTAGGGAGAGAAGTAGGCAGTGAGGAGGCCTGGGTTCTCAGCAGGGCTTAGTGAGCCTTGACTGTTCCTCCCTCACCTGCTTTCCTCCAGGGCTGGCTCCAGCATGCTCCCCCCTTTGAGGTGTTTGAGGGCCACCTCAGCTGCCTTGTGCTTGGCTGCCTTCTTGCTGGGGCCCTGACCTAAGAAAAGGGGTGTGGGCAATACTGGAGGTCATCAGCGGACAGCAGAGAAACCAGCCCCCACAGCCAGAGGAAGTCAATAGCCCTCTGAGCAACCCCCCTGCCAGGACTGGAAGGGCTCTGCTGACTGTTGGAAAGGCCTTTGTCCTAGTTAGCTGGAACTGCCAACCTGGCACAACCTAGCATCATCTGAAAGGAGAACCTTATTGAGGCACTGTCTATATCAAACTGATCTGCAGACATGCCCGGTGGGGGGGCTGTCTTGATAGAGAACTGAGGTAGAAATGCCCAGCCCACTATTGTGGTGCCATCCCTAGGCAGGTGGTCTTGAAAGTGGAAGCATCTGCCATTGCCCCTGCTGTGCTGCTGTGGCTGGGAAGTGTGTGGAACAGAGTAAGCAGGCAGCAAGAATGAGTTTATTCTCTTTACTCTTGACTGTGGATATGAGTTTCTACCTTCCCCACAATGAGGGCTGTAAGCCCATCAGCCCTTTCCTCCCCTAAGCATCTTTTAGTTAGGGTGTTTCATCATAACAATACAAATGGACCTAGAACAGCCCATATCTTTCAATTAGCTCCCATAACTAAGCCATGCCAGGCAGGACTTCTTAGCTCCAATACAGGGAGAGTGGAGTGTCTTCCTTTCCTCTACAAAAGCACTTTTTCCCCCTCAAAAAATAGGCAATAGAAACAACAAAGGATCGGTTCTGAAGTAAGAGCTCGACCCTGCCACTTATCAGGCATGTGATCATATGCCAGTCATTTAATTTCTGAGACGAAGCTCTTCAGTTTTCAATATGGGACATGAAGGCCAGCAGAGTGTGAGCTTGCTCCCCCAAATACCCACGCGGGAGTTCTACGGCAGTAAAAGTAGCAGATCCCTTTGACATTTCCTGTCCTATGCAACTTCTGACAGCCCTGTTCTTCCAATCCAGAAAGCAGCTTTCCCCCTGAAATCTCCATCCCTCCCTGGCCTTAAAGAAGAGGACTGGGAAGCGGTTACACGATACTAAGCCACGGGCCCTGTGAATGCACACCCCAGCCAGGCTGCCCAAGCCTTCCTCACCAGTGCAGCTGGTGTCGCCAACGGTGACCCGGAAGGTGAAATTAGGCTGATGGGCTTGGCCCTCGGCTTTGAGAAGGTCGTACACGGGCGTCTTTCCTATTCTGGTCCCATACTCCTGAAGAAGGCTGATCGGGGTCTTGCCCGGGTTGGCGGCCAGCATTTGCTCTACGCTGGGAGAGAGGGGCACAAACCACTATCACACTTTCCCTTTCGGCACCCACCTGACCAAGCATTATCACATTAGATATAGCCACATTTTAGGGTCCATGGATCCCATGCAGTATAGCATCCATTGACTGGGCTAAAAGTTAAGATGCAGGAGGGAAAGCAAGAGCCTCTACCCCAAGGCAAGTGGAGAAAGTACTGTTCTCAGTTAGGGCGTGGGATCCTGTGCCGTAGTGCTGGTTGGAAGTGCACTTTCCCCCTGGCACAATGCAATTCGGAAACCCAGTACCCACCAAATGCACTGAACATCGGGTCATAAAGACTAAGGCTCCAGAGCAGTCTGGGAATCGAGCCAACCCCAAACTAGAGCTGGAGGCGCTGGCCACTGACCCAGTGCATGCTGGGAACCTCTGCCCACTACCCCAGTGCTTGCTGGGAACAACCCTCAGACCAGGTGCATGCTGGGGCTGCGCCGCTACCCGTCCGCACAGCCTCACACTTTTCGTCCTGCAGGAATCGAAATAGGCAGCTCACCTG